TTATTGAACCACATTTCTACTACAACGGGCCCTTTCTTCAATGTTTCGTCCGTTCCTTCGTCGTCAACCTTCAATCTCTTGGTGAGCCACATTGTCACAACTACCTGCCGTTCAAGATATCTTTCGTTCTGTTTAAGGAAAGGCCTGGTACCGGCAGAAGTTTTGGGGCTGTTCGGTTTTGCGTTACCGACGCCAGGTCATGCCAATCGCGTGTGTCGTCTTATCCGCTCTGAACTTTGGAGGCAAACTCGGCTTCTCCAGGATTATCTGCGTGTCTTATGCTATGCTAATGACCCGCCCTGGAAGGCAGAAGTGGAGTTGCGTTCCCTGAGGGCGTACACTGCTCGCATGGTTGAGTTTTGGTGGGCCTCCTACCTGAGTAGTGTGCTTCACGTTATCCGAAAGAAAGCCGACAAACGAAGAGGTGAGTCACCTGTTCTCATCTTAGGAGATGATGTGGAAATCCCGGAACACGTGGAACGCATCCTCAAGAAGGGTCCCAAGTTTAGCTATGAACCAGTTGTGCCGCCTCAAGAATTGCTTGCTTTTAACAGACGTGTTGCAACCAGAGCACCTCAAGATCAGTATGTGCGTTGTTTGCTTGAGGGCGTCGACGCATTGTCAAGGACTGTGCATAGGGCAAACTGCCATCAGCGGCGGGATCCCACAGAACAGGTGGTGAAGTATTTCAGAGAAAATGATCTATGCCTTCTTCAAGCGGATAAAGATGGCGGTTTTGTTGTTCTAGGATCTGGTTCGTATGCTGAGAAGGCTATGAAGGCAATTTCTAAGAACTTTGTTTCTGTTAAAAGCAGTACTGTTCGTGTTAAAACTAAAGCAGTTAACATGTGCAAGGACTTTGAACTCGTTCGGTTGGCAAGAGATATTAGCACAAGCAAAGGTAATGCACTCAAAGTTTTCTTCACTGCAAAGACGCACAAGCCTGGAGTTCCTTTGCGAACGATAGTTAATGAGCAGGGTTCATGGCAGCATTCAGTTAGCCAGTTCTTGCTCAAAGAACTGAATGGGCTGAAAGTTGTGGATCCTTTCGCTACAAAGAGTTCAGAGGATGTTGTGCGGTTTCTGCAGGTCGAGAATTGTACGGACTTTATGTTTTCTGTGGATGTAGAGGATCTATTTTATTCCGTTCCTCATGCGCAGTTGTTCGCGTCTGTTCGTGCCTGCATTGATTCGAATGGAGTCATAGCTTTTCAAAATGCTTCCGGCTTATCGGTCGAGAATTTCATGTCGTTACTAGAATTTTATCTTCGTTCTACCTTTGTTTCATTTAAAGATGGTTTTTATCTGCAGCGAGAAGGTATTTGTATTGGATCGTGCGTGGCGCCAGTTTTATGCAACTTTTTCTTGGCGGATGTTGATCGGGGTTTAGTTAGCATTCTTGATAAGCGATGCGTTGTTAAAGTTTTTAGGTATGTGGACGATTTTTTAATTCTTTTAAAGAGACCCCATTTTACTTCTTTGGACAACTCTGTTGACGCTATTCTTAATGCATTTAAACTGTGCGGTAAGGGCTTGACCTTCACCTATGAATTTCCTACTGATAATTCGTTGCAGTTTTTAGATTTACGTCTCGTTTTATATGACCACCTATGTTGGCGTTATTGTCCCCGTGCGCAGAAGGCCCTTTTGTCCTATGATTCTGCGCATTCTAAACTTGTAAAAAGGGGGATTGCCAAACTGTGTCTACGGTCCGCTCTTGAGAAGTCATGCTCACTTGCAATGCAAGAAAGCTTTAATGATCAGGTGCGGCGTTTAATTGCCGCTGGGTATCCTTGCACGGTAGTCTCGGCAGTCGCTGAAGTGCTTCTGCGTGATGCCAAAGCAGTCCGTTCCAGCGGGAACCCTGGCCTGCGTCGCAGGTGGCGTCCGGAGGTGATGCCTTATATGCATCGCATTTCCCACAACCTCAAAAAGATAGCGAGTAGACACGGTGTGCCGATCGTGTTCTCCGCCCCACGTAAGTTGGCTGGACTTTGTCCCAGAATCTTCCCTGGCGTGAAGAGATCCGGTGGTTGCGGAAAGAAGCACGCGTTTGTGTATGTGAAATGTGCGACGGGCGTTGTCTACGAAATACCGCTGTCTTGTGGGAAATTTTACGTGGGTCATACGGGGCGTTGCGTGAACGACCGTGCAAGGGAACATGAGCTGTCACTTAAGAATAACGGGATTACGCATTTGCCCGCGCATTGCAAAGCTTGCACGTGCTCACCGATTTTCTCGGAGATTAGGATTTTGGGTCGGAGTGCTGATACCACAGCCCGGGAACTGATGGAAGCGTTTTATATTTCTGCTAGAGGCAATACCTGTGTTAGTGATACATCCATTTCGCTTTTTGATAGTGAGCGTCATTTTTTGCGTGGCCTGTTGTAAACTATTAGGTTCTGTCCTCGTGACCACTTGACTATGTTCTGTGCGACTGTAAATTGAAGGTTGACGAAGAATTAAATTTAGTTGAAAGTCTGCGCTTGTCCCTGTCTCTTCTCTGCTGTCGTTTGTCTGTTTTTTTGTGCGCACACCAGTTTACCCAGTATTATGAACCAACTCGCCCAGCTACAAGTTTTATTGACCGCGACAATATTATGGCTAGGTGCCGTTAGCCGCCGCCCGATCAAAAGGGTACAGCCACATACATTCATCACCACTTACGATGAGGGCCCCCGCCATATTCCGAAAAAAAAAAAACACCTCAATGTGCCAACAGGTTCAAACACGTCACAAAAATATCTCCTCGCTTCTCAACAAAGCACACCGCGGACGCTAGCGAAGAACTCGCCCTTGGCCTTCTCTACCCCTGCTCTAACAAAAGCTTGTACCGAACTGCGAAAACTGTCGTCCGATTTTCTAAGAGCCCCATGTTAGGCGCCAGTGTGGGGTCTAGAAATGGCGAGCGCCACCACCACGCTCTTGGAGTGAAAGGACACAGTAGACACGGTCGGAACAAACCAAACAACACACATTTATTAACTAATTTTAGAACGACGATATCGTCAGCCGAATTACTATAACATCGATCTTGATCAACACGCTAAGACATCCTTACACAATGTTTCAAAACATCACAAACACCATAACACCCCCAAGGCGGTGTCGCCAACGCTTGGCATACCACGAGGGCCGCCGATGCGCAACCCGCGGTGCCATGCACCGGGGACCCACTCTAGAGACAACCGTTCGCAGCAACCGTCACGAGCAGAAGAGACTCGCTCAACTCTCTCGCCCGCCACCAAGGCTTGCCTTCCACCAGGGGTCACCGCCGGCGCTACCTCTCTACCAACCATGATTATGATAGTGGTGATCACCGCTCGCGAACACAACGCCACCTACCGCCCGGTAGTTGTAACCCGAAATGCGACGTTTGCGCGAGACACGTGCGCCACGCAGCCCAAACAACTTTACAGGGGGTGTCAGCACCCCCACATGGTGTAGTTGAGTTTCTTCTGGCTTTCTCTTATTTGGCAGTGATTGAGACACTGCACTCAGAGTTTTCTAAGTGTTTGCCAGCAGTGTTGAATTTGAAGATTACATATAACTTTCAAGAACATTAATGTGACACAGCTCAGTGATTGCATTTATTGTCTCCTAATATTTGCCACACCCTCTCCCACTTAGTATTTTCCCCTTAATTTTATCTGATAGTTAATAAACTGCAGTGGACACACCCATGTTATTACCAAAGTGTCAGAAAAACACCGACGTGCCAAAGACAGCGTCATCTACTCTAGAAGGGGGCCGCATCTGCCGCAAACATTGATTAATGAGCGACGAGATTCGAAGTTAGGGATAATCTATCGAGACTTGCACGTGTTGTAAACAAGTACAAGGAGAATGGATAAAAGAGAAGAGGATATCCCCATGGGATTTCTTTATATACGAGAGGGAAACTAATAAGAGAAATAGGGATACGCTAACACGGCGATAGGGTAGAGGCCATGGCAGGAAACTCAATCTAGCCTTCGCAGCTTTTCTTCTTTGCCACTAAGGCAGGGTCGTTTCTGCACTTCCTGGAGTTAATTGGGTCTTCCTTCTTCGACAGCAGAGGACAACAAAGGGGATAGCGAAAGGGGTCGGCGACCCCTGCATGCTTCGTTGATGTGTTGTGGCCTACTGGGCTGTGTCTTTTTTCTTGTCTTTCTGAAGCCAAAGATTATGCCTCGGTAATTTTGTGACCGTGTTGTGTGTGTGGTTTGAGACGATTGTCTCCTGATGGCTTATATTGTTACCGGACTAACATTACAAAAAACAATGTTACGTATATGAGGAGAGCATTTGGGAGTCTGTATGTTGTGCAGGTAGGGTCGTAGGAAGGATGGAGAATGCTCTATTAGAATGCTTTGCCTGGGTTTGTTCGTGCTTTGCCAATGACCGATTTTTTGTCTGTGCTGACATGTGATGTTTTTGTCACACCCCATGATGGGCTGCGGTATGAATGTATAAACAAAATAAAATAAATAAGTTTTTCATCTTTGTGTTTTGATTACTTTTTTTCTTCAAAGTATTTTTGTTGCTTTTGAAATGTTTTTAAAATTTTTATGCGCCATTTTCTTAGATTGTATTTTCCCCTGTTATGCGGAGTCTCAATTTGTTTTTAGGATATCTTCACATTTAGAAAATGAGGACATTATCAGAAACATTTAGAAATCTCGTGAACCTTAAGGAATCTCTAATTTTAGATTTAACATGGTGCTTTTATTTTTACTGCTGCTGTATAGTACATACTATAGAGCGTGCATTTATGTATCTGTATCTACATGCATGTTTCTGCCCCCAAAAGAAGCTGCATCAAGATATGATATCTCACTTCTGGGAGTATCCTTTGTTACTAGTCCTGCTTATAACCATCATTATGCTGGCACATTATATTTTTTGTGTTTTTTTGCATTAACATTGAGGTTTCTCTTTTCCTTTGCAATTTCAGGAAAATCAGCAATATTCCGTCTGCAATCGAGAGCCTCGAGCAGCTGGCGCAACTGGTTCTGAGCGAAACCAAGACCAAGAGGCACGGCTGGAGTCCCGAAGTGGTGCACGCCGTGAGACAGCTGCCGAGCAGTCCTGCACAGCTTGGGGCGGTGACGGACCTCATCTGGGAGCTCGTCCTCATTGAGCAACAACAAAAGACATGGGCCTTTGGTGAGTGCGAACGTGTTAGTACTCAGAACACACTTCTATACTCGGTTACAACCTGAATAAAATGTGAGCTCCACCCGCAGATTCAGCCTGCACTTCGCCGGTGAGAAACACCTGTGCTAGCTGGCTTCCTCTCAAACTGCAACTGTTTTTTTTTCTCAAGCCGCAAGTACTTTAACACTTAATATGTGGTACTATGCATAACAAACGTTAAAGTTTCATCACTACTATTAAAAAAATTACATCTGGCTTAGCCAACGTCATAGCAATGTCTGAACACCTCACAAAACTTACAAAGATTCCTACCTAAAACCAGTGAAACATGCACGCATGTCTGCATGGAAAAGCCAACTGTCTGAAACTCTTGAGAAGTTCTCGATGCCACAAAAATGAAATATTGTTTGCTATTAGATGCAGCATATATGAAAATTATCTGCGAGAGGGACTGTGGTTGCTGTGCTGGGAGATGTGTCTTCAGAGGTTATAATTGATCATAAGAATTCTGCGCTCCCGATTCGTTTGAATGTTGCTTTGCAGAATTATGTAGCAGTAATTTGCATATCCATACAGCATATGAATGTGATAACTTTATTTATGGTGGACTTTTGTTGAAGACGCCTGATATTATTGATGTTTAAATTGTACAAACCTAACCACACTTTTTCCCTCTCATAGTCATGTATAGGAACTGTGGATAAAAAATCTGCAGCTAGTTTCTTATTACTCAGTGTATGTACAGGAGTCCAAAGCCAATGTCGACGTGTGTGGCAATGTAGGCTTGTTGGTTTTGAGTCATGAACGAGGTACACAGACTAAAGAAAGCATGCAAGTTAGCTCGCATGCTGTGTACAGTCGCACTCAATATGAATGGCAACATGCAATCTGGGCTCAAAATAGCACCAACACTGCAAACCAGCACCTACTTAGAAAAAAATATATGAACTACAATCTCTCAATTAGCTCTACTTTCTTAACTAATTTAACATTTTGTTGTCATTGTTCATGCTTGGCATCTCTTCAACTGTAGCCACCGTTGTTGCAACTTGTATTGAGTGCTACTGTACATTTCTATTCTTGGCTGCTTTCTTATGTGTGCCTTGTCCATACTGAAACCTGATTGTTCGTGACCGGAACAGGAAGTTCACATCAGACGTATCATGTTTCCTGCCTTACGTTATGTGTCACATATTCAGCCACTGGTAGGTGTGGCATTCTGTATGGATGTTCCAGATGCCATAACATTTAAAGTGTGATGCACATATATGTGAAGAGCACAAAATGTAAAATGTCCTCTAGATGCGAGGTGAGGAGCTATCCTGCTCATGACGTCGACTTAAAGTGTGCATTTATTGGTGCAGTCTTGTGTGCATCTGCCTTTGAGCAGTAAATCCCGCACACTTCTAAAGTTCTATCTGACTATAGTTACTTGCATGTTTGGCACATGTAATGCGGCACAGCCGCGATCACTACTGAGTGTGACGCACGACAACTTCGTGACATCATCAATTGCTTGTCCCATAACAACACCTGCCGTGTCACCACAACCTCTGGACTGCGACTGCAGGTGCTGTGCTGGGCGTGTCCCTGGTGGCTTCTGTGCTGGTGGGCGTGGTCTCCCTCATGCTGGCGCCCTCGGGGCTGCTGTGTGACCAATCGGCTGCGGCCGCCGCGAAGCTCGGCTTCCTCAGTTACCTCACCGGGAAGTACCTCTCGCCGGCCAACTGCAAGGTCGAGTTCGACTGGAAGGAGCCACAGGTCGTTGGCAACACTCTCACATTCTTCATCAAGGTCTGTGGCTCTCATATTCACCAATAGAACTGGTTGCCTGTTAAGTCTGAGTTGTAATCAAGTAGGAAGGGGCAGGACATGTTGTGAAAAGTTGAAATAAACCGTGCTCTCCAACTGTGGTAGACTGGATTCTGAGAGAAGGCAAGCATAGGAAGGGGGAGCAAAAAGTTAGGTGGGCAGATGAGATTAAGAACTTTGCAAGGATAACGTAGCCATAGCAAGCACAGCATCGGTATCGGTCAAACATGGGAGAGGCCTTTATCCTGCAGTGGGTTTAGTGAGACTGATGGTGACGACGCTCATCACGCTGCACCGTTGTTACACACACGGCACATGACAGACACAGCCGCAGCTTAATCAACTTTGTTGTTGGGTGATTATTTGAAGGCTTGTGAATTTTAGGTGTGCGTACAATTATTTTTGAGACCAACACAAGTGTGCATCAAACAAAACAGAATATCCAGTCGCTATTTGAATGTTGAACAAACATTTTCGCCACTCAACTCATAGTCACGTCCTAGTACACATAGTTTTACCATTACATTGCTACATTTCTTCCTCCAGTTTTCTTATTGCGCCGTTACACTGTACGCGATTCTCAGTGCAAACCACGCCAACAGTGTTCGAGAAGCTTCAGGACTGCAGTAGATCATTTTGTTGAGATTACGCCAACTTTGTGAGCATTTCAGGTTATTGCTGCTAGCGATAACGCTAGAATGTTCGATGGCGAGCGTATAAATGCCATCATGCTTCGCCGCTTGTCCGTTGATTGGCGGTCGACGCTGCAATCGCCGCTATTAGTGCAAGTGTGCTACTGTAACCCAACTTTCCGTTTACCGGGCACAGGTTCGCCCAAATAAACAGTTTGATCTGACCATCCAGTCTCCTGCCTTCAGCCACGTCACGACCCCGTGACAATATTCTCATGTACATAGCTCCTGAAAGAATGTGAATGATTGTTGTATAGCCAGTAACATCTAGATCTCTAAGTAACGCAGCTGGCTGCACTTGTTCACTTGTTTACAGCCTGTTTACGATAAACACATTCTCTTCGACATGCACAACATTATGGTAGCGTTGCTTACCCTGCCGTTCGAATGGCATCCTCCAAGTAGTACCTTCTTGATATCCAAAAGATCTGAGTCAAGCTGCTTTGAGAAACATGTCTATGTGTACCATACAGATTAAAAGATAATGGTGGTTTACTATCAGTAAATGGTACGTCCGTAGTGATAATGCATCAGGTAGCGTTTTTGTATTATTGTTTTTCATTTCTGTCAAGTGCAGATTATTTTATCTGCTAAGCTTTTTCTTAGAGCTGAAGAATTCGATGACTTGACTGCAGTCATAATTTTTCTGTTGCATTTTCTTTATTTTGTAATCCAGATGCACCGTATTTTTCTATTCTTGCAGTTCTTTCAATGCAACGGGCGCAGCTATCCGATTTGCGACGAAGATCCACTTCTAGTCGAAATTGTCGCTGGCAATGGCGCTCACAAGGTGGCGTGCAGCGTCGAGCTGGGTGGCACAGACCCGAACCTGGCCAATCAAGCCAGAGTGCAGTTCACAGTGCGCCGCGCCGGTCTCTGCCATGTGTCGGTCCTCATTGGCATGGTACACGTGCGGGGTTCGCCATTTGTCAAGAACTTCCTTCCAGGTGAGCCTGTGATTCTTTGACCTGTACTGCTTCTTTCAAACAATCTTGCTCTTTTATGAAGAAAAAATGGCTTCCAGTGTGAGAGCATTGTATGCACCCTCAAAGAGCCCCTCACCAGGTTTGACAATTTTGAGCTGACGAGCACAATGTATACTTAAGGCGTTCATGATCAGGTCTGCCAAAATATGCAACGCTACGCACTGTGGAAAAGGGTAAAATTTCAAGATGAACGCTGCTTGCTTTTCCTTTCAAGGGTGTGTGCCTAAAGAATCAGGGCATGCCATATACGTAGGAATTGCCCTAGGTAGACGGTAGTGCTGTAACGTTGGTCGTCTACATAGACGACTGTGCTCTGACGTCCCCAACAGTAGCACGTGACAGGGCAAAAATTATTTCACACATGTGTAGTTTTTGTAATTTGTTGCTTGAATAGATGAATAAAACTTGAGTTAAACTATGAAACTCAAAAAAGAAATGTGTGCATTTTTTTCATTTCTTGCCGTGAATTGCAAGGAAATGCAGGGCTATGTGCCTGCTTTTTGCATGCGTTTGTTTTCCCGCAGCCACGGTGCCTGCGGTTTGCGCATAGAGCAGACGCCAGTTCTTTAAATGAAATTAATAGTCCTGCACGTTCAAGTACTCAATATGCTAATCTATTCCATATCTAAACCAGCATTTTCAAACGAGCAAGCATTGAGGCATCCATCCAGCAGAAACAGGCAGTAGACCACAAAATAACGCTGGTCAGCAAAATAACACTGTTCATATTTATTTATTATTTATTTATTTACAGATACTGCAATCACCTTTGGTGATTTTAGCAGGGTGGTACATGAAGTTAGTCATGAACAAATGGCAAGTACAATGTCATATAATATATACAGGTTATACAATGTCTATAGGGCAAATACAAACTTCAACTGGCAATATCATACAATAAAAAATAGAAGACTACATATCCTCGGAAGTCAGGCTTACTCGCAAACGTCATGTGCATGTGGCTGTTTGCTCGCATGGTGGAAAGGATAGGGAAGAGATTTGGCTTGCGAAGGCTACGCGGCATCAGGAGCAAGGGTTTTGAGCTTGCCTCCTCTCATTGTGGTTTTGCACCGCTTTAAAATACTGGTTTTCTCTGCTCGTAATGAACCAACTGAAAAAATTCTTATGGCGTAATGCTCTTCTTTCAACACACAACTGCCAGTGTCTAACTAGAATTTGTTATGGGGCCCTTTATGGTGACATGGGTCTTCAAATTTTTAAAATTTTTAAAACAATTGAGTGGAAACTTTCCGAGTTTTTGCGTATTTGTGAACAAATTTTAAAAGGACACTAAACGCAACTATTAAGTTGATGTTGATTATTGAAATATCGGTCCAGAAACCTCTTGGTGTTACTTTTGTGCCAGTACTTCTTTTGAAATAAAATCACATTTTGGTGGTCTGCATTGGGTTAGAGCACTTCAAGTTGCCTGCGTCAAAAGCGGAACGTGTCACGTCACTGTTGTTGTGCACAATGTTGCCCGGCTTTACATTGTGGCTGCCGACACTAGTAACAGCAGAACGAAAGTAGCGGGAGCCACAGCATCAACAATGGTCAATGAACAATAACCTGCCATTGGCTCCAAGATGGCAGACATGTTTTGGTTCAACTGGGCCCCGCTATATGGCACCACCAGTCCAGTTTAACCAACTGAAAATTGGACTTTTTAACCACTCACACCATTCCCCATAGTAACATTTGGCGGTTGATTTTTTCATTAATCAAACAGAAACGAACAAGCAGCATTTTATTACGTCTCTCGATACATGGAAGGTTATTTATTTAATGCAGCTAGTTCGATTACTAGTTATTAGTTGCAGGCGGTATGTTTGACGTAATAGGGTTCATTTTGCAAATGTCCTATCGTAGTGCATGTGTTCTCATGCTTTTACCTTAATTTCTCGGTAAGTAGGGCACTGCTGTTGATAATATTGTCATTTTAGATGTTGTCATACATTGGGCTTTCACTTTGACATAAATTGTTATTTGCTTTAGTGTCCCTTTAAATTCATAATTATTTTTCTTGTATATTATGCCTTCCTTAACATGTCAGACACTTATATGCTTTTTAGGAGCAAGAGTTTTCTTAAACTGAGAAAGTCACCAAGTAAATAAGCATATCAGAATTACCTGGAATGTGAACTGAAGGCAACACAACAAGAACGAATTTTCTAAACCCATCATAACTTACAATATGGACATTCGTGAATGAGCGCATTTCATGAATGCGTGCATGAGATTTCTGTGACAAATTATCAACATACCAGAACTTTTGTTTAAATATGCTTAGAATATCCATTCATGTTTTCTTGTTTACAGTTTTCATTCCAGATTATTCCAATATGCTTGTTTATATTGTAACTTTCTCAGTCTAGGCAAACTGTAGTGCCTAAAATGGCACATGGAATAGATGACATATTAAGAACTACATACTGTTCTATAAAAATAAAAGTACATCTAAAATTATCACACAAATGCGTGTGAATTCAGCGGGTTAGATCCAAATCGATGAAAAATTTGAGAAAGCTTTTCTAGCATAGTGTCCTAAAGCAAAAATTTAGGCACATCCATTCAGTAAACAGTGTTGCTACCTGATGGTAAGAAAACTAGAAAATTACCAGCTGAAGGCTTCGGGTATTGATATCATGGCGACTTTGTCATGTAATGTCTTCGAGGTCACATGTGACATGATGATCACATGATCATGGCGTCATCACGTAACAAAGTTCTGACGCCATAACAACGTCTTGCAACTGCATCATCACACGATGCCATCATATCATAGCGCCATCATATGATGCTCCGTGGTAACGTGATGTCACAACATCAATGTTAGCTCCTAAGTGTTCATGCTTTTGAATTCAGTTCAAGTAAAAAGACCTAGGTGGCTGTGCAACTTTCTTTAGGGGTCTTTTATTGCTGAAATTTTATTTTATGTTTACGTGTTCATGTTCATGACAATCAGATGACAAAGATCTGTTGACAAAGCCAGGTTATTTCTTTTAAAAAGCACAAAGTTTGAAAATGAAACATATCCTAAATTGAGGAATAATTTCGCTTCCATGAGCAAGTTACCTGACCGCTATACCAATATACACCAGTCGTGTGGCATGTAAGAACTCATTAAGCTGGAAAGTGCTGAAAAAAAAGTAAAATCATTATAATCAAATAGATTGCATTGAATTTTTTAAATGTAAACATCACCATTAAGTCACAATATGAAGTGTTAGTGTTCATTTTTTTTTACTTTTGCACTTTAAGGACCACAATATATATAAGAAATGAGTAATAATCGTGCATATAGTCAATGATAGTCATTGTACCAGTCATAAATTCAGTAAATATGTCACTGATGAGCAACTTGATAAACAATTAAAAAGTTAATGAATACCTCATTCAGTGGCAGTCTTGTTTATAGTAAATTTAGTAACCTAATTATTGATAAATATATAGTAGGCTAATGAGTACTAATGTCACCTTATAAGTACTATGTAATTCAGATAATCAGTTTTTAAAGACGATAGTCTTTCTTGGGAACCTTCGACGAAACAATTTGGTCTGTCTGTCTGTACATTTGTCTGTTTGTTCGTTCTAACGATACCTCAAACGGCACTAAATGGCCAACCCCATCCGCAGCACCCACCAATATTGCTCAAGGTTTAGCGTTCACAGTTGTGCGATTGTCAATTAAAAAGCAATTATTGCGCATATTTGAGGTGCCATTACAGCACTTCGAAGTATTGTATGTCTGCCTTTATACTACAAAAGGCACACACAAGTAACTCTAAGGAATGTAGCGTTTAATCGCGCTGCGCTGACAGTGCAACGCGATGCTCAAAAAGGTGTTTCGAACGCTTTGCTATGACGTCACAGTGGTGGCAGCTGCCGGTCGCTTTGCGTTCTACACCTTATCACCTCCGAGACTGGCGCGCATCTTTCTCCGCAGTCGCGCACACCTTCGTTTTCGAAGATAACTGCCAGGTGGCGCTCGTGTATAACGTGCCTAGATGTGCTTGTTCGCCTCCGTTACACGCTTGAGGCATTTTAACGCAGCGCCTTCAGAATACGATTCACCGATTTTCTTGCGCAGAACATCAAATAAACGTTTTGTTCACTCTCTCCAGACGCAAGACTATTGTCTTTCGACATTAACAGTGTAACATGTAGATTCGGGCCAATTTTTTTTATTCAGTCTATCACAATAGCATGGCAGAAACTGTTTTTATGTGAAGCCTTTGTAGTTCGCATATTTCAGAGGGTGCAGTAGGCACACACGTGCACGCGCACGTAAACAAAAAAAAAAGTGTCGCATGCAAGAAATCATGCGTCGGCAAGAGTGAAAAAATGCGGCCCTCTAAAATGAGCCAGTCACACACGTATACCCGTGCCACACGGGCAGAAAAAATGGCATTTACCCCCGAATGCCTTCAGATTTATTGCCATTCGCGCGGTGCCACACGGGCGAACAAAATGGCATTCATCCGAATGCCATTCGAATGCCATTCGCCGCCAACTGCCTTCGCCAGAACTCAGTTGACTGAGAAATGCCTACTCTCGACGACACAGCTCGCGAAGTGCGATTTACCTGAAAGTATATAAAACAAATCATATTGAGCTAAAAATGAAATTTCCCGTCTTTTATTTGCACTAAAGTCTTAAAAAGATGCTTTGAAAGTTATACGAAGAAAATAAAGTATTGATAATAAAACGCTTGTCAATTTTAGTGTTTATTTACGCTGTGGATCTGACTAGTGTTGGCTTAGGTTGCTACGGTCGGCTGCAACGTTGTAAAACAAAGCAAGAAACTAAAACTTAGGACCGCGTAATACGCTTATTTCTTTATTTGATGATTATCTGATGTGTATGAAGCTTGTAAATGCTTCTTAATTTTTTTTATTGCTATTCACTCAATGCTCACTTGGAAGGTGGTGTGATCGACATCATCAAGTCAAATGTCATTCGCTTTGGACGTGTAGCAGCGCCGGCGAAACGAATGTCATTCGGGAACTGAAGGCCTTCGCCACCAAATGTCATTTTCCAAGCCCGTGTGGCACGGGTAGTAGTTGTATGTTCCCTTTTCCAATATAATTGATGCTCTCTCTCTCTGTAGTACACTTGTTGGTGATCAGCTGTTTCTGGTATGGCTGTTCCAGCTTTTATGGGGGTCACCTGTCATTTCACATGGCCACGCTTGATTGTCGCCTGGATAGGAATGGAGGGCTGTTGTTGTTGCCTGTGGTGACTAGGGTGTTTTCTGTTGTGATTGAAGCACGAAGACGAATGGGCAGTTCCCGGTGTGAAGGAAAGAAGCAGATAAGAGGGAGCATTGCACTATGTGAAAGAAAGAAAGAAAGAGAATAGTAGTTTAATCACGCTCATACCAAGCTTCACTTATTGGGCTGGGCCTCCTGTATCTTTACATTTTTTTTTTTCTCCCTCCACGCGCAACCAGGTCGTCCGGACCCTCAGAAGACGGGCTTCATCCACCACAGCTGCACTGTGGTGTGCACCCAGGACGAACCGCACCACCTGTTCCTGGAGCCCCGGGACAAGTACAACAATGCGTGCCTTGTGGACACTACCGCCGACCCCAGCGACGAGTACAGCGTTGACATCATCGAGGTACTGCACAGATACGTCTAGTGAAATAATGAAAGGTTAGACAGTCTGGTATCCCATTTCAGCATCCTGTGCCCAATGAAAAACAATAGCACTTGTCTTCGTCTGTTTTTCACTCCGTCGTCGTGTTCTGTTGTGTGATAAATGCTGAAATATATTTTGTGCCTTTGTTTGCTTTATTTATCCTTCAAGTAATTCGAGTGCTTAATGTTGCATTTACCCATACTGATGCGGCTATACAGTGGCCTACTTTTTTAGATAATGACCTGTTTCAGATAACTACCTTTGTAGATAATTGCCTGCTGTGAGAAGCAACATTTCTAGTTGAGTTTCCTTGCTGAAACAAAAGTAAAGTGGTCGCACTCCTTTCGAATTTTTGAATTGTTTGGAACCTGCAGGTCAGTTCTAACAGACCGGTCACGTCCTGCTACCACTGGGAGAGCCACCCGGAAAACTCGAGAATCGCTCTAGTGCTCGTGCTCGACAAGGTCGGCTGCTACCAGGTCAACGTCTCCTACCGGGGCACCAGCCTCAGCAATGGAGACTTCCACGTCATTGTGCTTTCAAGTGAGTGTCGCTCGACGTCGCTGCTACCAACGCAGTTTAACCTGTTTGTGTGGCCTTCATAAGGCTCGAAAAGGCACAAGTGTGAACATTGGCGTCTTAAAAATTGAGTATCAGAAATATAACCTTCTGTCTTTAGCAGGTTACCCTAACAGAATACAGAATTTTTTCATTGCACTGTGTTAAAAGAGATACTATTGAAAAAACGAAAAATACAGGTTTAGTTTCGGTAACAGTTCATTATGTGCATTTCTGGAACAATACTACTACGTTCTTAGAGCAAAAAACTGAGAGGTATTTTTTACATTTTTATTCATAATTATTTAAGTTAGCAACAGTTCTGAAATAATCAATAAGCGATTGTCCAATATTTTATAAAAGTTCAATTTGTGCCATAAAAGCTTTAATATGGCATTTCCATGTCTGACCACTGCTGGCAAAAAAATTTCAAAAATGGCAGTAGTTTTTGTTTATGTACATGTGTATACTCCATTAACGTCATATCTACTGAGAAGTGCTTCAGTGACGCTTGAGTAATCTAGTTTATAGAGTTAAATGTTAACCTTTTAGTATTCTTATCACGTCATACAGTTTTCAAAACAAACGAGGTATATTTAATATGAAGCATTGGTCTAGTTGGTGAGGCGTGGTATTGATAAAGCAGTGCTATTAAGCAAAAGTCATATTGATGCACACATGAAGAACGGCGCTGTTGTTTTGTTGTTTTTTTCTGTCATGCAAGCATAAACACTTACTCGTGTTTTAGTGCACTGCTTCATCAGTATCAAATTTACGATGCCCATGTTGCGAAAATTGCTTTGTGTTTGTATTCGTAGATTTGAATTTTCCCAGAACTGCTGTTGTGATTCTTTTTCATGCTGCAATTACGCAGAAAGCGACACCTCTTTGGTCAGGAAAAATGTTGCCAAGAAAAGCCACAACATTTGGTACGAAGCCAAGTTGATAGCCATGAACTGCGAGAAACTAAGCAAGCCCAAAAAAGTATTTGTCTACATCTCGCCAAAGGTGAGCTGCGAGATTTGAGAATCGCACAACCTACAATGTTTATCTTGTCCTTAAGCGTGAAAGTGCGATAAATGTCATTGGTGATGTAAAGTAAGACATATGAAGTATTCTATAGAACTGTGATCAACACTAGAATTACGCTCGACATTCAACAATAATCTCTAAGAACATCACGTAATGTCCAAGAAACCTTAATGCACAAAACCAGCATAGATGTAAAGCAATATTTGTACACCCAAGAGCAAAAGTTTACGTGACACGAAAAGCTTAGGAAAGCTATATTCTCGCTTTGTGTGGGATTATATGCTCCAAATAGATGTTTGCCTTAAATTGCTATTACAATGTATACAGTCATCAGCTTAATTAGAATCGTTACATACTGATAGAGAAGAAATTTGCAATTGTTGTTGCGAATACACCATGTAATCTTTTGGTGTTGGATGTTGTCAGTAAATGTGTAATGCATGCCTCGCACTGCATTAATTGCTTCGCACACTACAACGGTCTGCCGAAAGGAAATCTACCACAAATCTCTTGTTTTGTTTTTCTAAATATTTCATTTTGTTAACCATAGTCTAAGCATTTCTCTAGTTGAACAGCTGGTGTTTGTTGACTTAATTGCACTCATATTAACTAGACTCCTTGTTTGCCTCCTGTAGCAACTCACGATTAAGGAATACGTGCTCAGGATCATTCCAAAGCGGCTCATCACATTCCGACTCTGCCCCAGCACAAAGGTAAGTCTATCAACTTAGATTTTTACTTCTTAATGTCTTTTTATCAGTGTGATACCTCAACCTGACCCTGTAATGAATTTATTTGACATGGCAAAGTAAATATTGATTATTTTGCACCTCACCCTGTGTTTTGTATTTCATTGTAGTTGAGTGCTTTCCATCCCTTTTGCTCAGTTTTCCGATCATAACTGTTCATAAGTGCTTGCAAGTTAGTTCACGGCAGAAGCACTTACTTTTTGTGGGGTTTTTTGAACTGCCTTGATATTACTACGACGAACAAAGAGAGCATCGTTGATTGATGAGATGATGAAACATCAATGCAGCCTAGCCTGACTTTTGATTGTCTCTGTGAAAATTTTAAACACCTTTTTGAGCAGACACATAAGGAGTTTCCTATAGTCGAGAGTTTGGCGGACATCCGCCTGGTTGGAGAGAAACATGGATGAAATTAACACACCTCTAAGAAAAAATCGTGGATTACCAACTACCCTGAACGTGCGTGTTGCAAAGTTAGCAAAACTATTTACAACGTTGATGGAGAGACCTGAAAGGCCAGCGAGGCTGTGTAAACATTTTTTTTGTCTTATTACTACTGGATGCTGTCTTCTTTTCTTCATCGAACCACTTTAATCTGTAAATTTACATGTTTTCACTTTACCCTGCATATAATGTGCCCTGTGTAATGCACGCTATAATGCACGAAACTTCAAACATTCTGATGAGCGCTTTCATGTCTGTGCTTTCTCGGTCGTAGTTTCAATTCAAGGGGAGCAACAACCACGAAGGAGAGCCCGTGCTAGTTGTGGACGATGGCTGCCAGCCGCAAGTCGAAATGGTTTGCGAGGAAAGGGACGTCATCGCGGCCACCTTCACTCAGTTCCTGCTGAAGAATATTGGTCAGTAGGACTACATTCTCTTCCCGAACAGGACTGTTTTAATGACAGAACTTGATTTGAAAAGAAAGACAGAGAGAAAGAGGAGTCGCTAAGAAACAGCTACCTTAATGTTTTCTGATGATGAGGCAGCCTGATTCAGTGTTAATGCAAAGCATCTGATAGGATGGAAACGAGGTTATCAAGAATAAAAATGTTGTAAAAGAGAGATATTGCCAGGTTGATCACAATACACCCACTAGATTTGACTTTGAATTTGAACTTTCTCAGTGACTTTGTTGGCAAAGTAGTTATGCTCGTCAGCCTTTGTTTGCACATTTTGCCAGTCAATTAAAGGCAATGCACTTAGGGACTGTATACAACCCAAAACACGACGTTGTTACCATTTCATCTCAATGTGCGGTCTCTTAAAAGCGGCAACTGTCATAATTGCTTGTCTTACATTGCTTTCACTTTATAAATAGCGCTAGTAATAATTCATCCCCCAATAGGTTTACATATTACTTGGCACGAAACCTGCCTCAACAACATATCAACAACGAAACACTGCCTCAACAGGTGGATCGGAGACCTTCAAGGACAAGCTGGAGTTCTTTCACTACGAGGTGCGTAAGCTGCACCAGAAGCACTACCACGACAAGCTTCAGCTGAAGGTGTCGCGAGACAAGATTCTGGACTCCGTAAGTCATCCGTCGCATCAGTGTTTAAAGGCAGACTCCGGCGATTTTTGGACCATGTCAGGGTAGTGGCACTTCTATGTACCTGAGATATTCTCACCACAAGCACGATAGTTCAAATGCTCAGAAAATTCCAAAATAATTTTTAATTAGCAGAAAACCGCGGTACCGAAACCCAACCTAGTGCGCCTCTACGTATGACGTACTATTTGGTAAGAACCGTAAGTCGTATGCTGGACCCACCGGCGTGGAGCATGAAAATTGTGAAAGCCGGGACGAGCTGGCACTCGGAACAGACGAGCGCGCCAGGCCGAGCCGGCCAAACACCTCAGAGAAAGGAAGAAAGCTTTCGCATGCCGAAAACCACCGCCATCACCTCACGGCCAGCACAATAAACGCTGTAGAGGTCAAAGTTAGTGATACCATCGGCTGCGTCACTTCCGTTGACACTTAAAAGATAACATCACCAGACAATGTTGCCAATAATTCTGGCAAGCCAGGTGAGCGTTTAAAGGCAATCTTTAAAATTCATTTGTAAACAATCAGCGCATCTCTCAAGCATGTAATTTGACATAAATGACAGAAATGTGCAAAGAAATGTAACCAGTGAATTTCATTGAGATCCATTGGCCTTTAACAAGCGTTTTTTTCTCCAAGGATGAGACGGAGACATTGGATGTGCACAGCATCAAAACTACATATGATTTACGACTTTACATGAATGCAAATGCATCTTGTATATCTAACTCGCTGATCTGTGTGTGTCTTGCTATGTGACATTGTTATTCATAATTTTGATAGCTTCTTTTTGCAACAACGTTGAGCTAATAAAACTTGTGTGTGATGCAAAAAACCATATGTAGTATGTACCGCACATTTCTTATGGTTCTGTTGTTACATACGTAAAGCGATTTGATATGTTATTTTGAGACCTTCATGTTGTATCCTCTACCTACCCAAGAGCGAAGGAGCTGCTTCTGCCTTATTCAGGCACTGGCTCCTAATGGTAACATTGCCTTACGGCATTGCACATTCGCCATGCCAGCAAGGCCAACCTTGTATGCACAACAGTGGTGCAGAAAAAACAAAAGCCAGCGGGTTTATACTGTACTATGGGATGCAGAATGCCATTAGGAATTAGATATGTGGGGTTTAACGTCCCAAAACCACCGTATGATTATGAGAGACGCCGTAGTGGAGGGCTCCGAAAGTTTCGACCACCAAGGGTTCTTTAACGTGCACCCAAATCTGAGCACACGGGCCTACAACATTTCCGCCTCCATCACCATTAGGAATTACACCGCTTTTTGTTGGCCATTTCGAGATACTTCAGGGCCTCCATGTGCATGGCACAAATTATGACAAGAAGAAGCTATTGGAATGGTATCCCGCGTTAGCTCGTGTAGGACCACAGGAAGAAGTGCTTGAACTTGTACCAAAGATGACTTTTTCTTGTTTTCATTCTTGTCGCAGTCGATGAAGGCAACCAAGAACTTCAACACGAGTGACTGGTGCAAGAGCTTTGAGATAACCTTCGTGGGAGAACAAGGTGAGGTTCCGTTTAGAACAGCCACTGCTGTGGTTACATTGTATGGCTGTTGGCCCGGAATGCGCGTGTTTGATCTCGGCCTTGGTGTTCACATTTCGATGGAGGTGAAATGCTTGAGGCCTGGGCATATGCTGTGTTACGTCGGTATAAATTAACGAACCCCAGGTGCTTGAAATTACCCAGGGTCCTTTTCTATGGCATGTTTCTTAACCTGAATCGTTTTCTTGAGACAGGCCTCATAAACCAACCGACAAACTGTTGCAAACTCCTCGTACCGTGTGTTATCAAACATTTACAGGAGGTAACTGAAATGTCGATAAGTTAACACGGATATAACGAATTGGTTAAAACAAAGTGAATGAAAAATAGTCTTGCAATAGATAGTGTGAAGGACACGCCTTTATAACAAATTTTTGGATATCACAAGCTTATTTCTGTGAAAGATGCAACTTCGTTATAATGAGGTATGAGTGTATATTCGGGCACAAACTTCTGTTTAACTACAATCCAGAGTATCTACAAAGACGTCGAAGTTTTTTGGCTCTCGCTATCAATTTTTTCATCCTTTTCTGTTTGTTTTATCCTTCTTCAGCATGTTAGATCTGAATGTCACTTAAAGCTAGAACCCCACGAGAATTAAAAAGAAATTTGTGTAATTATTTAGTACTTGCTTGCTACCACCACCAGCTAATGTTCGCTGACTGTCACCTAATGTTAGCTATTCATTGCTTAACAATAATGCAGTCTTCATTTAGCGTCAATGTAATGATTATGCTGTCTATCAGTTTTTGTTTTGTTTGCCACTGCTTATTGAGAGGCTCCAAAACTGTCTCTCTTTAACGTTCCAAGGTTTGGACTGGGGTGGGCTTCGTCGAGAGTGGTTTGAGATTCTCTGCTCTGCCCTCTTCGACCCTGAAAACCAGCTCTTTCACCGGTTCAAGAATGACAAGCAGGGCTTGGTGAGTGGTCAGCAAAAACACCGCATTCACAAGAATCTTCACTCGTTCAATTGAAACATATGCTTATAATTACCCAGTTGAACCTTTGCACACATCTGAAGCCGAGGGCCAAGTCATTACATTTAAACCACTGTCAAAACTGTCCATCATAAAGCAGTATCTGATAGGGAGGGTTTATGCTAGCCCCAGTTTGAGATACCTAGGATTAGTTTGGTTAGGCCAGCCTCCGGTATAGTTGGGTTGGATTGGGTTTACGTTTTATGCTTAGGGAGAAACTTTCTATTGGAGTATTTTGAAGGATGTATTTATCGTAGTACGATGCATTTATAGTATGCCTACACATATCAGCTCAATCAATCTGTCAATTACTCAATAAGTTATCCTTTAATTTTTATTTTTCCAGAGGAAATTAATTTTTGAGAGCGAATCAGTTTGATTGATTGCTTGGAATGCTAGCCTCAGCAACTGTCGAACTTGTCGCCACCATTATATGGTGTACCCTGTAATCACAGTTTGAGTTTACACTTAAACTGTGATTGACAAATGGCTTGCGTGTTGTGGGTGTAACAGAACTCTCATTCCAGCTGTACAAAGTGTGCCACATAAGACTTTGACACGTTGTATCTGCATATAAATGTTTTCATTAAAGATTGGCCATTAAGTACCATGTGTTTCATGGTCTTTACTGTGCACTATGTAAAATATCGTCATACGTAGTGTACAGGTTTTAGCTATTGAACAGTATACTCAAGCCTCTTTTTTAACAGTCATACATGCCATGAAAATGCTTTTTTCTATGCGAAAGTTCATGATAAAAATCTATTTGTAGCACTGTACCTATTACAGAGCTATTTTTTCTTTACTTCGTTATAACTGATGTAATTCGTTATGTTGGAGTTCATTATATCGAGGTTTGAGTGTATCATGTTTTTCTCAGAGCTGTTATAAATGCATTTGTGCATGTGATGACCGATGAAATGTACATTCAGTAGGACATCTGTAAGCACCATTGCACCTCGTTAGCACTTGTGATTGCTGGAAACCTGCAGGTTCACCCAAATCCACGGAGACCGGCTCACTTGAAGTTGAAGCACTACGAGTACGCCGGCCGTATTGTCAGCAAGTGCCTTTATGAGTCCTCGCTAGGCAGTGGCTACAGGCAGCTAGTCAGGGCTCGCTTCTCCAGGTCATTCCTTGCTCAGCTCATCGGACTCAGGGTTCATTACAAGGTAACCCACTTGCAATCCAGACTCGTATATGACTGTTTTGCTTGCTTGCCATGTCATTCACAAAACGGTGCAGTCTCCTTAAATAAGGGAGTCTTGTTTAGTGTACTGAATGCTGACCCACGCAATGACATTGCTTCTTTTGTCCTGCCGAGCATGAAGCCGTGAGATCGATCTTCGGTCTTAGTGGCTGCGTATCTATGGAAGTGTAACAGACCCCGCTCACAAGCTTGAGCTAATCCTACGTCGAAGTACCCTGCTGGGTCAGAGCTCACGCCAAGCTTTCCGCTATGGCACCACCATATCCCCATCATTGGCAACCTGCACAGTTGTGCGTGCTTCCTGACTGGACATCTATATATTGAACTTCATTTTGCTGCACATTGCTGTTGAGTATCATTTTACTGAAGACATTGTTACGTCGACAACTTGTTTGACATGATGGGTTCTGAGAGCCGTGCTAAAACAGTGATTTTCAGTTCTGGAAATGGATATAAGCAATAACAAATGCCCATGTATTTCAAGTCTGAGATCTCATTCTACTCTAGAGTCTCATTAGACTACACCTGGAATTACCAGCAAAATATGTTTCATTTAACGGGAGTTCTGTTTACAAGAGATGAACTGGGGTGGAGTGGAACTGGGTGGGGTGGGGTGGGGTGTATAAAGTCAATTATGTTGGAAGCAGTTGTTCTGGTTAAGTAATTTATGTTTTAGAGAGGCTTAATTAGATCTCTAATAGTAATTAATTAGGCAATTAATTACTTAGGTATGTAGAAGTAGTAATGCTGCGACATACCTTGCACCTGTGAACTTTTTGGACATCAAACCTCATCAATTCTTGAATTGAATTGAATTGACTTTATTTCTTCTGTTTATAACAGAAAGGAAGCAGAAGCTAAAGGCCATGTGGCCTGACAAAGGCTTCTACTCCTACGACAGTTCAGCACGCAGGCCGTACATATCACAAGTTAATACAAAGTATACTGTACGGACATATTCCACTGAATAGTCACGCAATTAAAAAACATGTGAACAAAAAGTGGAAAAGCGAGAATAAACACATTATGTCTGCAATTTTATGAAAACATTTCTTGCTCATAAGTGTTATTATTAGCAATATATGTTGATGGACATGTATTGTAAAAGTGTTATAGTACACATTATATTAATGTGACTTTTGATGCCTTCGCTGCAGTTAGAACAATATTAGGCAAAAGGCAGAGTCACCGAATGTACAGTTCCTTTCTTATTTAATACTTTCCTCCACCAGTACTTTGAACAAGACGATCCAGACCTGTACGTGACCAAGATAAAGTACATTCTGGAGAACGACGTAGATGACATGGAGCTGTATTTTTCTGAAGAAGAGTACACCAGCTCTGGGCAGCTCTTGAAGGTGATTAAAGGCTTCGTTGCTTTTAGCACTTCTAGTTTGAGTTGACGCCGATAACTGATCACTGCCACGTACCAGAGATGCTACTACCGTATACACTCGGTAAGGGCTGCGCTATTTTTTCTATGATTTCGATGTGGTGCAGGCCTTCCATTAAAGTGAGAAATTTTTGTTCAGTTTTCAAGCCACGTATGTAAAAACTCGTTTAATCATGCTGTATATGGCATGATTAAACGAGATTAAATGCGGACATTCTCGCCAGATGTTTTCACTGGTAGCGCTGATCGGGCTTGGCTTGTCGCAGCTGCTTGGGTCATCCGCACGCTCATGTATCCAATCGTCCTCAGTGCCGTCCATGGCACTGGAAACCCCAGTGACCATCAAGCTCTTCACAATAACTTCTGTGGACACCTCACGCCACACTGCTGCCATCGGGTGGCTCCCACGAAATGCACCATAAGCGAGACGTAACGACACGGCCGTTTGCTAGGCGTTTTTTTTTTTCTATCAAAATTTTGACTGCCAAGTTAGGGAGAAAGGTCCTTGCACAAGCACGACCCTTAGTTGAGTGTATATGGTATTATCACTTGTCATCATAGGATGTTTTTGGGAAGGACATATTTTAGCTCCTTCTTTGACAGGTGTCTACATTCTTCCAGGCACTGCTTATCTTTGCTCATCAATACAACTTGTACTGCCTGGAAACAGTTAGCTAAATGTCCTGAAGCATGTGACAAAATGAAGGCTGTCTTTGTATGCGGATTTGCTCTGTCTCATGTGCCTTGAAATACTCACTGTAAATATATCCCACCTCTTCCTCGTCAGTAAATGTAGTGCCATGCATAGTGGGCACTTAGTTTTTCATAATATAAAAAAAATGATTACTAATCTGCATATATCAATGTAAATCAGAAGAAAATGTCTGTTACTCCCTCTGTTGTTTGCATAAGAAATATCCAAATGAATATAGCACGGCATGAAATCTCACTTTCGCACTTCCTAAGTTATATTTGAGTAAGCCATTCCATGAGAATTGAGCTGGAACTTGAGAAGATGTTCTTGGTTCGTGTGATAAAGAAGAAACGCTTTTGAGTACTAAAATGAAAGAAAAAAACTGTCTCTAGTAATTCTAATTTAAATTTACCAACTGTCATGCAAAAGTATAACCAATATGAAATATACAGTAGATTATTGACCAATTTTGCAAGAAAAAGCGTATTGTTTTTTGAAGCCGACAATGTTTGTAACAGCAGCACTGGCTAATGATGGCCACTCGCTGGTGTTGGCTATTGGCTCTTATAATGACATAGCAAAATAATGGAACTTGTGTACCACTTTCCACTGACATTGAGTGTTATGATATGGCACTTCTCTTAATGGGACATAGTCGATAATTATCCTATCGTGTACTGTTGTCTCTGCATGTACAGACGACCGAGCTCATTCCTGGTGGCTCGAAGATTCGCGTCACCAACCAGAACAAACTGATGTACCTCGACGCGCTGGCACAGTACCGGCTGGCGACCAGTGTGCGGGAGGAAGTGGAACACTTCCTCAAGGGACTCAACGAGCTGATCCCAGAGAACCTGCTCTGCATTTTCGACGAGAATGAGCTTGAGGTACCCATGTTTTCAGGGATGGGCTTTTTCTTTTTCGGCATAAGTTACACATAGACATCAGTACCCTTGTTATTTGCATTACCTTACGTATAACCATTGCTTCAACCAAATGATTCAGACCTAATGTGAGATCAACATCTACTCGTACGAATCAATTTGCTTTTGGCTTACAGACTTGACTGTTCTTGGTTGCAACATGAACGTCTTGCTCTTGCGTATGGTTACATTGAGTAAAAAAAAATGCCAGAGTTGTTGAATAAGGTAGTGCATAGCGATTCTAAATACTTTTGAATGAAAGATGAAAAATTTTTTCAGGGAGTTGTTACCTTGTTAGATGCAATCAAATGCAACAATTGGGTCCGGGAAAGCATAGTGATGAAGAATACTTGCTTTTAAGTATGGTGTAGTAATTATAATGTTAATTAAACTAAATAAAAGGGACAAAAATCACCCTTTTTGCAGCAGGTACTCGTAAAAAGTTCTTTAAAACGTCTAAGGTTCTTTCAAATCATTTTGCACTGCAGTTCAGTGAACTGGTCTTTCCGGTGTACGAGCACCGATTTCAGTGCGTGTGCAAAAGCCGGTCTGGCACCTGATGCGTTAATGCTATATTGCTACTCGTGTAACCACTGCTGTGAATTCATATGCATGCCTACTCCATGTGAAATGAATAGTTATAAGCATGCTTTGCCAGTTGTACTGGTCAATTGAATAGCAAGGCAGAGCTGCTCGTGAACTGCGCCAGAGTTCAGGCAAATCAGTGACAATCTAAGAAAAATAAAGAGAACTGAATGAGTATTCGCCATTTGTATTCTGTTTTCTGTCCTTGCAGCTGTTGATGTGCGGCACCGGCCAGTTCAGCATAGCCGACTTCAAAGCCAATCACACAGTCAGCGGCTTTTCTTTCGAGTTCAGAAAGGCAAGCCGTCTTATTTTCTTTACACCTGTGTTTTCTGTATAACTCTTCACGACGAACTGTGATGTCTCATTGAACGCAGAAAAAAAAAAAAAACACTTTGCATTAAAGGCATAGCTTATCCGGCACATGTGCAGGTGCTGGACTGGTTCTGGACGGCAGTGTCAAACTTCACCGAGGAGGAGATGGCACGACTGCTCCAGTTCACCACCGGCTGCTCGCAGCTGCCACCGGGGGGCTTCGCCGAGCTAAATCCGCGGTTCCACCTGAGTGCGGCTCCGACTTTCGGCAGTCTGCCCACAGCACACACATGGTGAGCAGTGCACCCTCTCCGATTCAGCACTACAATGTCCAAAAGTTATACAAACAGCGCAAAAATGAGTGTTGACCAACTCGCCAGTTACTAGCCATCACAATAGCTTCTTGTAACGTTGATTGATTGATTGATTGATATGTGGGGTTTAACGTCCCAAAACCATCATATGATTATGAGAGACGCCGTAGTGGAGGGCTCCGTAAATTTCAACCACCTGGGGTTCTTTAACGTGCACCCAAATCTGAGCACACGGGCCTGCAACATTTCCGCCTCCATCGGAAATGCAGCCGCCACAGTCGGGATTTGGTTCCGCGACCTTCCGGTCAGCAGCCGAGTACCTTAGCCACTATATCACCGCAACGGGGCCTTCTTGTAACATTGCTTCATTCTCCCCCCCCCCCCCCTCTCTGTTTGTGTTAGAACAGCATTCAGAAAACACACTAATATGCAAGTATATTGAATATTTCCAACTACCTGCTAAAGATAATTTGTGAAAAAAAGTTTCAAAAAATTTGTCCAAAGAATGGTTGCGTGCTGAAAATGCAATCTTTGCAACACTTACGTAGAGAAAGAATCTGTCATGAATGCTTGCTCTCTGGGTTTTTAATGCACGCGCTACACTAAAACCGCCTTATAACAAAGTTGCATCTTACATGAAAAATAAGTTTTATTATATCCAAAAATTCGTTATAAAGGTTTATTCCTAACACTATGCCTATTGAAGACTGTTTGTCATTTACTTCATTATAGCCAGCATTTCATTATGTCGAAGTTTGTTATATCGAGGTTTGAGTGTATTTGTTCTTCATTGTTAGGACTAGCCGGCCATAATTTGTCTGCTATTCCTATGCTGTCTCTTGGTGTGACCGAGTCTAATGAAATTCTTTTAATCCTGGTTTGTGTGAAACTTTATGAAGATATTCTTGAAGAGCCATGTGGTAGTGCGTGCATGCAATCTTTCCTTTCACACTTGAAGCTTATACTGCCTGCACAGAAAACTAACTGCATAGTTTACCCCTCACCCACACTCACAAATGGTTACTGTACTGATTCGTCGAACTTACCCAACTCTTCCGTAACTTGCAGTTTCAACCAGCTCTGCCTTCCCGACTACGACTCGTACGAGCAATTTGAGAGGGCCCTGAGGCTGTCCATTAACGAAGGCACCGAAGGCTTTGGCATGATCTGAAACGGAGTTCTGTGTTTCGATCCCCCTGACTTATCGCAACTCCCCCAAGAGACTTCGACGTGCGTGTGTGCGTTAATGGTTGTGCACGTAGCAACGGCTTCGCCGACGACGACGCACGAATCGTCGTGCTTGTTGCTACGAGAGAAAGAAAGCCTGTGGAATTTTCGAAGCCAAGTGTTGTCTCAACAGTCAAGAACAACATTAATTTCCACGTTTCTCATAAGACGGATGTTTCTCCAGTAGTTGGTGACAAGACCTTATGTGCTGTTATTTTCTGTCTGGCTGGCACATCAACGAAATGGACACCTCCTGCGATGTGCCTTGGTGCTTTCATGTGCCACACTTGTAAGCATCTCTCGCGTACATTTTTTTTTCTTCATTCTTGTAATTTATGTCTAATGCGAGAAATTGTTGACGTGTCAAAATATGCAACACGCATGACAGCAGCTAGCTTTTTTCCCTACGATGTGTTTGTCACCGCTACGAGTCGGTACATCAACTCGCTGCGATCGCGCAGTGTTTTTGTCTTTCTGAAGTGGTTTCGTCGGTGTCGCAAGTTCTGTTGGCACTTGCCAGGAAATAGTGTAACTGCACAGCATTTTTATTTTTATTTAAGCAGCATTTAAGAGTCCTCTAATCACATTTTATGACTTCATTGTGTACTTAAGAAAGTGATTCATTCCTCAAACACTCGCCTTAGCTAGAAGTTTTATTAAAGCTAACATTAGCAAGGTAACATTAAACAAGCATTGCAAAAGCGTGCCAGAATACCTGGCGGGCCTTAGGCATGCTGAATGCAAAACTTTCAAAGTTACTATTGACTCTATACAAGTAGTCTTACGGCTTTTTATTTTATCAGGCCTCTCAAAAGGCATACCTTCGCAGGACAGGCAATGGCTTAGTGAGTTCCTATGGTGTCACGCTGGACGTGACTGTAGTTATTTTCTCGTAACATGCCTTTTTTGGTCCTCTCATTTTTGCCGTGTTTTACATATTATACGGCTGACTCACGATTATTTGAAACACAGCGGATGAAAAGTTGTGCGAATTTTGAAGTGAGCCAAAGGGAAATCACCGTAAATGTATGCATTTCTGAAGCCAGATTATTCATACTACGCTTTAGAGTGGTTTGATGTTTTTATTGGTTGGTTCAGTGGCATGCAGTGCAGCTACAAGGTGTTGCTTATGTGTCAGCTCTAAAAGCTCTCAACTTTTTTTTGAAGGGCTGTGTGATATCCGTTCGTATTTATCTTTAAATACCAAAAGCTTACCATTTAATTTTGGAATTACATCTTGTCTCTAAGCAACTCAAAGATATTCAGTCAATTGGAGCTTCGGTTATCGTGATTCAACAGTTTTTTTTGTTTTTGTGTGTGTTTTATATGTTGACTTTCTTGTGTTTCTTCTTCTTAGATAATGCAAAATATTTGTTACCCATGACCCTTCCTGGTATAATGGAAGCAATTGCATTTCAGTGAAGGTTTGCCAAATGAAACTTGGATGAGGTGCCAAGGTTAGGTCCATCTTGTCACACTCGCTTAACTTATCTCTGCTTAGTTATAATGCAGCACTTCTGACAAAAAAAAATGCTGTGAAACAGTTTTTCTTTTTCGTCTCGGCATCTGCACGTAAAACTGGGCCAATTTGTGTACAATCGTATAATTTCAAGCAAGCTTCATAGCCAAGTTACAAATATCTGTATTCAGATTCATGTTAAAGCGGCCCTGCAACACTTGTTGAGCATGCTCAGAAAACTCTGCTGATTGATAGTCGAGGCTCCTGGAACCACGTGAGCCAAACATTGTAGCGCAGCGCATGGCCGGGAATTTACCATTAATTTTCGTAGTCATCTGGAAATCCGTGTCCCTTTTTTCTACAAATGGTGGAATATGCCCAAATTTCTACACCATGTACCCATGGCCATGGTGGCTAACCGCTTTGAACATTGTGAGCTGCCTAGTTAGCATGGCCGTCACAGGGTGGCGCTATATGCCCATGCGTGCTCACACTCAAAGTAAGCCGCATGTTCGAAGCCAAACAAGGAAAGGTCACGACGTGCAGTGAAGAAGGGCTTTGTCTTCTTGCCTCTTGTCATCCACCTGCCTGCATAGCTTTTAGCACGCTTGCTGGCACAAAGTGAAGAGTAATTGCTTGAAGCATGCAATTAGTACCTGTAATTCTACTCGTACTTTATGGATTCTGAAAATTTTTTGTGGCATAAGATCTATTAAGCACTAATATTCAGACTATTTCATTTTAACCCAGAAAGTGTTGCAGGGCCCCTTTAAAGGCAGTAAACAAAAAAAATGAAAATGCATTGAGCGATCAAAGTTGTATAAATGGCGGTATTTTGGGTCATACGGGCCGGTTGATATTTCGACATGCGGGCTTGTAACTGTTGGAAGCACCCTGTCGTCCTTGGCAAGTTAGTTTAGAAAGATAATTGGATGGCATCGCGCAGTGTCACTGTGCTCATGTCTGTTCCAGCTGTTGCTGGTCGCCTGTTAAAGAACCCCTGACAGCGAAGGCTTTGCTGGACTTTTTGTTACTGTAATTTGTAGCCTTGCGTCTGGTAATGTCAGAATGTAATCATAAATGCTATATCCAGCATATTGTATAATTAATGCTAGCAATCTTAATTGTGACCAACTTCAATTCAACACAGCACAAGAAACTGGTGCCCCCGTAGGTAGTACTACAGTTAAACCCCTTTATAATAGGCATGCTGTGGGCAGCAGTTTTGTCTCTTATATGAGATGTCTTTTATAAGCAGGGCACCACATAGGCATTTCCTTATTAACCCATATCTTACTATAGGCACACTGGTATCTATTAAACCCATTTGTCTGTTATATCAGCGTCTCTTATAAAGGGGTTCGACTGCACATGAGACCACATCTGCTTGAACTTCGTTGACACTAACAGTGCAAACGGTACCGTTTTTAAACAGGTGCCATTACAAACACTACCCGTTGGTACTGGAAATGTGAACAGTGACACCACATGACATCAGCTACTAACCCTCTAAACCACAATGCCAAGGACGGCAAGATGCCTTTGGTTGCTGTACTGATCTCCTTTTCATTCAGTGTTAGTTAATTTTCAACAGCCGCCAACAGTGCCTGTTCAGGCTGAAAATGCGGACTCTGACACCACATGACATCAACCACTCACTTTTCAAGACTAACGTACCAAGGACAACACGATGCCTTTCACAAAGCAGCTCCTTCTATCGAAACATTGGCCAAGCTGTCTGCAACTTGCACTGAAGATATCAGTATTGGTGACCCAACTTTTCTGCGTCCAAGTTTTGTTTGGCCAAACCCGACACATGTACATAATATATTACAAAACTCGTGGTATTCCACGTTAGAATGCATTAGGGGGACCACTCAATCTACTGTAGCCACTCCAGTTGCCACAGCGACCTTGCAGCATTCTTTTGATGCAAACAAGAAAGGGAAGTAGAGCCGCTCTCTAGTCATGTTTTGCATGTCATGTTTTGCTGCGAGTTTAACCTTGCGTAGGAGGATGCGCTGCCCTTGTATGCGCACTCTGCAGTTCCTTTTACGAGAGCCACAGTTCCGTGCCGATCATATTGTAACTCTTGTCCCATGAAATGTCCCGACCAGCTTTAGTTGGTTGTGAACGCAGACAGCCATAAAAGATCAATGAAAGAAACTAAAGTTCAGAACATTGTGAAAATGGCGTAGGCGACAAGGCAAAGAGAAGTAGACAGACGGCATGCGTGCCTGCATCGTGTGCCTTCTGAATGTTGGTCCGTTGTCTTGTACTAATAGAGCTTTCCAGCTCACACTAAGATTAAAAATGTATTCACCATTTCTGTCACTGGCTTGACTCAACAATATGTATTCTCTCAATTGTTGCCATTACTGTACTGAGATGCCACCCACATACCATAAAATGCCGCGCTAGCACCCTCCTTACTTTTCCCGGAGATCTGAAATAAGCGCAGAAGAAACGCCCCGGCGGGCTCATAGCACGGTAGTCGGGTATGTATCACGTAGGCAGGGCAACCGCTGGTCATTAAGGGTCACTCACCGGATTCCCAGAGAAGGTAAACGCACGAAGAGGAGGGAGAAAGTTAGGTGGGCCGATGAGATTAAAAAGTTCGCAGGTATAATGTGGCAACGGAAAGTACAAGACCGGGTTGATTGGCGGATCATGGGAAAGAACTTTGTCCTGCAGTGGGCATAGTCAGGTTGATGGTGATGAAGCACCAATGACCGATCCAAGACTGAGCAAGAGCCCCTTTCCCAAATCAGGTAGGAGTATCCTTCACCATCGAGGGGGGAGGGTGTGTTTGCTCGGCATTTTCTATAGGTATACATTCGATTTCGGCATTGCCCCTTGCTCAATGATATCACCGCTTCCCACAGCACCAGAAGAACCAATGAAAAAGACATGCTCAAATCCTGTTGCCGGGCCCCCTTAAAGTACTCTTTCTGAAGCACTGCCTTCGTGGAACGATTTTACAGCTGTAAGCATTGGCTTTATTCGACTGGAAGCAATTTTATAGATTGTGTTGAACATTCCCGAGCTGCATCACCAGCTCTCCATTTCCAACACTAAAACCATGGCTGATCAAACTGAGAAAATTTTCGTGTCATTTTAATTTTTTAAAGTTTGCCGACCCTCATTCAGCTGATAATATTACTTTAGCTGTCAATAAAGCAGCCTTATGGTTTCTACCGCAGCACTTCTTTCCTTGTTTTTGCCTGAAGAACGCTGTTCATGCGAAGAACATAACTTAGAATAAAATGTACTGCTGGCGGTGTGGGCACTGCCATATGCTACTTGAACAACACTGTTCATGCGAAGAACATGACTTTGAACAAAATGGACTGCTGGCCGAGTGGGCACTGCAACATGCTAGAACTTTGAAACTCTTATTCCCAGACAACTATGCTGCATTATCAAATGTGTCATATGTTTTCTTTCGTGATCTGATTTTGTCTGAGCTCAGGATCGAGTAGCAAGTTCATTTATGTTTGCTGCGTACAAGATAATGGCACAAGATTTTTTTCTAAGAAGTCACTTTTGATCTTGTCAAAAAGGTTTATTTGATTTAGATGCTAACTTGTTTCTCATTTAACTGCACAATGTGTCAGCTTTTTTATATGGACCTGAGTTTAAACTGCGCGATACCGAAGTTGCATCTTAGACAAAATTAACCTTGTTATATGCAAAAATTTGTTATAAAGGTTTATATCTAACACTATATTTCAAGACTATTTTTCATTTAGTTTGTTGTAGCCTATATTTCGTTTTATCTGGGTTCACTATATCGAGGTTTGAGTGCATATAAAAAGTTGTTATAGATACACATTCAATGCATCATTATAACAGAGTTGCACCTTACAATGACTTATTCGCTATATATGAAAAGTAGTTACAAACGTAGATTGGAAACCCTGTCATAACAAAAATAATTTCACTACATCCAAAACTTTTTGTTATATTTAAAACATTGCCACAATGACGTTGCACCTGGCACGAAAATAACTAATAAAAAATTATTCATAAATTTAAGTTCACAACACCATCAATGGCAATGTGTATCTGCAGAACAATCACTGTGCGAGATACTACTAGAATTGGGGATCAACGAGTCCTAGATAACTTTGCTTGTCTTCATATGCGGGAATGTTCATTGTGTAAAGTTTTCTCTTTTATTTGCTCTCTTACTTCAAATGATGCTTTAGAAAAAAAAAAACACATGTTTTGCATATAAAATTATATATTTCACGTTTCTCAATATCTGCTGTACAGAGAAAACTCGCAGTCATCTCAGAGCAGAGAGTTTGCAGTTGTCGTCGCATCTGCATTTCAACACACGTATAACGCGAAGGTCATCAAAATTGACCTGGAGCACTCTTCTACGGTAGCTTTTTCAACTCTATTGTTTTTTGGGTATTATTGAACACAGGTGAGTTAGATGAACGTCAGCACGGACCAACTGCCGGTCTTCATGCAACCACTCTAATCATTTTCTGTGGCTCTGTTCTCGTTACGTATCATCTTAGTATTCCTGGTAATGCCTAGATCACCAGTGAGACGCATGTAACGCAAATGCTACAGTCAACTGAAATGTTTCCTTGTGGCCTGTGGTGTACCATCTAGCCAAGTCGTGAAATGGTGACCCCCACTTTTTCTCGTCTTGCATTTCGGATAGTATTTACAGAAACCAATAGAAACTCTTTTAAAACAGCAGTTTGCATGCGTAACTTGGCTTTCACGCATTGCTTGATGCTCAATACCACTCACATGCTGGAAGCACTGGTGGCAAACACAAAAAAAGACAACGTTTGCTCTAAGCTGCGCAAGGTTCGAAACAGCAAAATTACACGATTCTGAAGGTGATGCAGATTCTTTCTGGACTGCTTCCATGTTGTTGCTAGGCTTTAGCTCTAAGCTGCGCAAGGTTCGAAACAGCAAAATTACACGATTCTGAAGGTGATGCAGATTCTTTCTAGGCTGCTTCCATGTTGTTGCTAGGTTTTAGCAAGATGATGCTAGGTTGTGTCTATGTTGGTTCTGAGCCAGAGAGGTGCAGGCTGTCATAGACACGATGTGCATTTCCAAATTCCGAATTGACAAACTCTCGCTGAAACCAAGCATTCACACCTCTCGTAGATTTACGGGCATGTCGCCGATGCTGCAGGCTTTCCATCGCTTCATGGTCTTGCAGCCGCTGTTGCTTTTCCCGTTCCCTAATATTCTCTCATACCTCTTCTAGGTCTTAGCTCGTTGCTGTTGCTTCGCAGCCATTGGCTGGCCAGCTGTTGCCTTTATCATTTTTGGTGGCCAGTAGCAGCAGAGTTTTGAAGGACTCTGGTAGCAGGATTTACCCGATTTCTGTGGCAAATACTCATTTACGATTTGTTGGGCTAACTGTTGCCCCCTTCAGTTTTAGTGGACCAGTGGCAAGCAGTAGTGGAATTATTTGCCCAATTTCTGTGGCTAGTACTCATTTATGAAGAGGATAGTTTTTTATATGCCGCACACACAGATTATGATTAGCTTAAACAACCTCGCTGTTAAAAAAAATATCAACGAGCAATGTAACAGTATGTAATAGCTCTAGGTGAACATTTCTAAACGATTCTTAAGTGAAGTTTTTATTTGCTTAGCTTAATTTTGTGCTTCCTACGAAGACGCATCTGTTCCAACTAGCCTGATCTATATGTTTATTAAATTGCTTTTATTAGCTATCTTTATCAAAGAAGCTTTTTTTTATTATTACTATTACTTAAAGCAAAGCAAAGTTTTTTTTTTTTTCAACGAGCAGGTTTTGGCGTCACATGCAAAACCCGGTGCCTGCTAGTGCAAAGAAATGCAACCCTTGAAGGTACATTGGTCTTATGCATATTTGTGTGCACCGCTTTTGAACAACTCGTGCTCTCTCAATCGTAGGCTTGTCAATGATCGGCTGTTCTCGATACGACAGTCTGATCTTTTATCGGGGTGACCTGAAAGTCTACATTGCCACATCTCATTGTTGCCGGGATATGAAAGCATGACCGTCGTTGTTGCCTATATCAATAGAAGTGTTGCGCTGCAAAGCACGTGAGTGATGGGCCAGTTTTCGGCATGAAAGGAGGAAAAGTCAAGAGGGAGCATTGTGCCATGTGATAGAAAAAATTTGGAAGATCCCACGCCTTGTGGGAATCGATATAAGGTAATTGGCAGGTAATTATCTAGCTGCATTTTTTTACGAGAGAGAATGGGTTCTTGAATTTGTACAAATTTTAAATGTCCCAAGATGAAGTTGGGTTCCAACTGTACGTGACAAAATCAAACAATTCACGATACCCCACACAAGAGCATGGCTTGAAACATTTTATTTTTTTAAGAAAACATTTGGGGAGATAAACACAGACAAAATATATGTATATACGTCGGTGCTCCAGGTACCTTGTTCACCTGTCGTTTACAGGTACCTGTCGTTTGAAAACAAAGTGTCCCTCCAAGACTAGATCTTTGTTGACAAGGAAACAAACAAGCAAACAAACAAAAGTCATAGAGTCATAAAGAATTTAAAAAAAAAACTGTTTTTTGACACTGTTTTGACAGGGGAATACTGCTATGCCGTTATAAATACTTGCATATGGAAGTGCCTCAACTGTTGAGAGGTGAATAATATTTTTTTTTTGGAGACATATTTAAACTGCATGAAGAAAACAACACTTTAGATACATCGAACACACAGACAAACGAAGCGCAGACTTCCAACTTCATGTGTGCATGTTCTATGCGTATAACATGCTGCCTTTCTCACGCAGTTTAAATATGTCTTCAAAATCGACTAACCAACTAGCAACTAGCCCGACAACATTCATTACTTCAGAAGGATACTATCTCTGTTGTAGTTATTTAAGGTGATATGTACGAAGGCATGGTGCGGTCAGGCATGTTATACGTTTCTTGCATAGCTGCCATTACAGAGAGGTCATCTTGATTGGCAACTTGGACCCACGGTGCATCACTGGCTGACCACAGAAAGGAGGCCCGGCCGTAATCCACAACGTTCGTTGCTCCCAACATTCTCGCGTCCTCTCGCGCCCCCGCGACTTTTCTCACGAACAACTTTGTGTGGAATGGTACGACTTAGCACTGGAAAGCATAGAACACTTTCCAAATCTCGTTTATGGTATAGGCATTAAAAAACAAAATGTCGTGCCTGGTGTGTCTAGTGCTACATGCGAAAAGGGATATGAATTAAACAAACAAGGAGTTTAAGTCCCATAGTGGCACGCAGGATTGTTGATACGTCGAGGCTTGGCGGGTTTCCGTGCGGCGCGATTCAAAGACCGGCTATGTGGAGATTGGCGTCGAGCTGCTCCAAGTACCTGCGCACCAGAGAAGGGATTTTAAAACAACTGAGCATATTCTTGTGAATGCAAAGATGTGCATTCGGGTGCACATTTTGCAACTGTTCTACACGTAGATTCCTCCCGTCCCTGTATTGATTTACTTTGTATGTACCTAACTTGTTCATGCAGTGCAAATGTACTGCATGGCACAAAGTAATATGGGCAGTCCACAAAAACGTCATATTTATTGGTAAAGTTGTAATCCGTTACTGTATTACTGTATTAATCTCTTTTCAATTTGAACAATTTTCAGCAACCTCTGTGAAAGAAAGACCTAATAATATACCGTAAAAAAGTTTGTCTTCTGGCTCCTTTCATAAAATAATTACCTGTTCAGATTCATTCTAGCTGTAGCCAAATCAGAACAAACCCTTATTTCACCGACTCTGGGCAGCAGTGCCGGACCACCATATAGTTTGTCTCGGCTATTGCGTGCAGTGCAGCATTATGGAATCCCATGCTCACTAGCAAGAGCCAGCCGCAGATTCCACAGAAATCCAAGTGAAGGGTATGGCCCTCGCATGCTACTAATCCTTCCGTGAAACTTCTATCCAGTCTGCATTATGCGGAGGTGGACAACTACATATAAAGTAACTCCTTTTTCTTGGAGGAAAGGGGAAAGCTTAATAATTAATGACTCATTTTCAACTCTATACCTTTATCAAGCCAGAGGCCTCTGTGGGCAAGAAAGTGAATAAATATGAGTAGTCAAGTTCCTGGTCATCTCTCTAATACATTGGCGTTATCAAAGTAAAAAGAAACTCTGGCACGTATAATGTCTAAGGTACTATTAAGCAATCGGCCTGATTGTTGATAAACAATCAGGCTGATTGTTGATAAACAATCAGCCTGATTGTTTATCGCTGGCTATCAGTGTAGCTCAACATGATTGAAGGTAGAATCAACGAGTTCCTAGTGCACTTACTGCTAAAATTGCCAAGAAATTTTCTAGTTAATTGTTAATGCAAAGCACAGCCATAGCTGCACAGCACGGACGAAGCACGGACACTAACTACGCAAAGAAGATTCACCTCGGGTTCCACTGCTCCACTCTTGCTCTCAGTATGCTGGGTCCAAACAAGCTCGCGAGCTGGTTCAGGCACTGGCTAGCCGCACTGGATGTCAGGGCGTTCTCGCAGTTCTGCAGCATCAAGCACGCAGTACAGAATGGCTCACCTTTTTTGCCGCCATAGATACGTTACTTAAAAATACCCAGTGGATCCATTAAACCATACGATGTTTCAAGCATCAGGTGCAACGCTGTGGAGGCAAGCGAGATTTCTTGCAGCAGAGGCATTTACATGAAGAAATACTTCAATGATTTTACCATCCGTAAAGTGATCTTTTTTTTTTTTAGGTGGAGTAATAAATGATGATGCTTTCTGCCGTAAGATGAAATAAAAAAACTAATATTTTATACGGTTGTACTACATTGCTCTGAATAACTTTGTGTCTTTTTTTTTCCTACCGTGGCCTTCGCAGTTAGTTCTGGTAGAGTAACGTAACACTTCGTTAACAATGCATGATGAATTTTCCAGTCAGCACTGAGCTGACAGATATATTTAATTTTTCTTGCGTGTTCTGTTGCATTCATTTGAGGTATTTTCAGAGCTGTCCTGGCTGAATGGGAAGTACGAAGAAAAAATCAACAGCAATATGTCAGAGTGCTAATGTAAATGAATGAAATACAGAATAGAAGTCTCGTATGCAAAAAACAGCAAGAAGGTTTGAAATCTGTGAACTGAAACTAAAACGTTTTTTAACGAGTCTTTGAAGTTTACACCAGCTGCTATTATCACATGAACATTCAAACTATTCCCGCGGTAATGTAATAAACGATTGCATAACAACTGTAATAATACCTGTTGTAGAAAGTAGCATGACCAGCCAACTTAACAAACGCACATGTATATTCGTGAGTAAAGCTATTTAAAAACAAGTACTGGAATGAATTATCACGCTGTCTTCCTATACTTTGTACGACTAAAGTATCACAGTGTTTCTGATACTTAGTGATAACTGAAGTACTCCAATCTCTCATTTTTGTGCATGTTATATTTAAGCTCGCTGCTAAATATTTAGGCACATTGTTTTTGAATTAACTATAAATTGAGCCAGTAGCTTCTGTAGACTAGATATTCCCACGGCATTATTTCGTTCAGTGCTTCTCTTACGCGATGCCTCTCATTGAGGCATGTACGGTATTCCAAAATAAACTTACAAGTTTCGATTCGTCTTGAGAGATCACTAGATTTCTAAAAATGTACACCTACCAGACTGTAGAAGATGGGCTCCAAGAAGAGCTCAATGTGCATCTTGAACACTCGTTTGCCCACACCTTTCACGATGTTGGGGAGCTGTTGGAAACAATGAACACAAAACATTGTCTAAGGAGGGAGGCTGCTTTATGGGACCAAACATTTTCGTAAAAAGATTTTTTGAAAATACACTCAAGCCTTGATATAACAAACCTGGCTATAATGAAATATAGCGAAATGAAGTAAATGAAGTAGTGTCTCACAACAGACATAGCGTTAGGAATATACCTTTATAACGAATTTTCAGATATAACGAGCTTATATTTATGTCAGATGCAACTTTTGTTATGATTAGGCTCGAGTAATTATTTTACTGAAAGCTGATTGTATAGCGAGGAAAACAGGTGCCAAACGTTGCTTTCGCAAGTTTATAAATTTTTAGAAAGGGTGAAATAGGAAAAATTCTTTTTCTCAGTCATTGAAATTAAACATTTGATGCTTCACAACTTTTGCTACAGGAAAGCTAGAACCGTTAGGTTACACTTGCACGACTCCTTGTCCTGTGTGGAATACAAATGCATTTCATTCGACAAGCTGTGCACAGCTGGTTAAAAAGAAATGTGATCAAATAATGCTTACATCAATAACTTGTATTAATATTAACTGAATAGTCTTCGTAAAAGCCCAGTTTAAATTTGATATCAGCACATGCAAACACACCAATCACTGAAGTTTTTCAGTATCCCAGTTCAAACACTACAACACTTCATCTCTACAAACTGCATTCCCCAAAATTTTTCAAAAACTCTTTATAAATTTAATGAGACTTTCTGATTGTATCTATATTCACAGGATGATTTCAAATATGTAACTACTGTTCCAGCACAAGTATTTTTCAAGGTATGAAACATTTCATGCGCCTTTTTGTGGGCAAGATTACGGGTGCACAGTTTTTCGCTTGAAGTACCAATGAAGACGCTGCAATACTGCACCACAAGAGCACACTCGTGTGGCTTTATTTCATAATATGCAGGCCTCCTTTTAACACCAGAAGGAACCACCACGTGGCAAGTACACTGCTACAAAAAGTAGGATCAGTCATTTTGGCATGTGCTACAAGATAACAGAATAAAATTGGCCCTAAAGCAGATATTAAACATTTTGACTAATTGGTCTTAGTCAATCATCTCAGCACATCATAAAAGAAATATCTTAAGGAGCACCACATGACGGTAAACCATATAATGTTTGTTTAATTTTATTGCAATTAACCACTTAATTACTTAATATACATCCTGCATAGCAACACCAGCTGGCAAAAAAGAGTGTGTTCCACACTCACTGTCACAGCTATGATCGGCACTGGCTAACACTCTCAGGTTTACATGGAACGAAATACGCAACAAAGTCTCCAAATAAATGACTTCCATTGTAGCTCAATTGGTAGAGCGTCAGATGTGTTATTCAAAGGTTTTAGGTTCAACCTCCAGTGGTGGCAGGTTGTCTTTTCATCCATTTCAATTTCTTTAGACTCTCATCATAATTACTACACCACTGACTTGGAATAATGCCTCCATAAGTCCTCATTGTTTGTTGGTTTCATTTGGTTGCGTCATGACAAAAAAAAATGAGCCCTTGATCTACAAGCAAACCTCGATATAACGAACCTGGATATAATGAAATACCAATTTTAATGAAGTCAATTAAAAATAGTCTTGTAATAAATATCGTGTTGAAATAAACCATTGTGAAGAATTTCCAGTTGCAAGGAACTTATTTTCGTGTAAGATACAACTTTGTTATCAAGAGGTTTGACAGGATTCCTCCTTTTTTGTTCACTTTGTATTGGTATGGACTACTGAGCTAGTAAGTTGAATTCCAGCCAAGTTGTAAAAACGTCACCTGACTGCACAACGTCTCCAGCAGGACCACGTGGTGAACGTAATGCCGGTGCCTTGAGGCTTCGGAGAGGGCGGGCAGAAATTCAGCGACGCTCGTCGACACCTGAGGTACCTGGGACAGCTCCGCTATCAGGTGGATGCACCTAGAACGGCCGAGAAGAAGAGACGGCATCACTTCAGACACACTAGCCTTACGACAACGTAGGCCAGGAGTTTTACGAATCGCACAAAAACGACAGATAAACGAAACTCGACAACTCAGATCAAGGGAAATTCTGGCGAAAAGTGCAACTATATGCTATACTCGGTTAAAATCCAAGAAAAAGAATGTCAGTTTCACCCACAGCCATTGCTGTCTCTGCCACAGAAAGAATTTGCCTAAATGATCCATCGAGTAGCACTAACTCATTTGTGATGTCAACCAATAATAGAATGTCTCAGACGACTTTTCCACACAGACACACACTGGTGTCGCTGGTTTTGTGTCGAAAACTTGGAACGTCCTGGTAAATTATGCCAGGGATCTTGAAATCAGGGAACCAACGAACCTTTATCTCTTAATCAGTAGTATTTACATTATCCGAGAAAAAGTACCTACAGTTCGAGCGGACACCAGCTAGCACAACTCCCTTTCACAGGTGAAAGGAGAAGTGCGCTGCGGATCTGTGGATGGAACTTGCATTTATATAACATGATAATATATGGTAGCACAGACAAAGGACATGGACAAGAGAAGGCGCATTCAAGACAATACAGCGATAACTTTCAACACCAGTCCATGCGTTAACTCCAACAACAGTTTATATAGCACATTTGACCAGTTGTGTTGGGATAGTATGGCAAGTTTATAGATTGGGTTATACCCACCTATTCTAGTAATATGTCTTAACGATTTATGCTGAAATACCAGAGCACTCTCAAATAATATTCCATGTAGAACACTGAGAGCTATAAGTCAAGCAGAGCGCTAATTATTCAGCTGGCATCAAAATGCATTGAGAACACTGCGGTATCAAGCGAAACGTTTCAAATATATTTTGTGCCAACAGAAAATTTTTCAACATAGGAGTCATTCAGCAATTAATCTTTTTGCCAGCACTGATGGATATGGTTATCATAGGGTTTCTGTAACGACATGACTGATGACGAATATACTTTTCATCGGCAAAAATTGGTCCTACACGGTACCACTTGGGAACTTATGCATCATATGTGTTTTCCTTGGCACTAGATGGCCACACTTGTCCATGCTGGGCCATTTGCATCACGGCTTTGATTTTATTTCTATGGTGGTACCTACAAGTTATCTTTTTTTTTACATGATTAGTTAAATAAAGAAAGCCCAGTGAATTGAAAGAATGGTACTATTTTATTCAGAAATAATATCTTTATAAATATAGCAAGAAAAGATTTTACAATGACCTGTTTTTCTTTTTGTTTTTCACTAACGAAAGAGTATATGTGGTTTTACGTGCCAAAGCTACGATACGATTGTGTGTGGTTCTGTAATGGAGGGCTTAGGAAATTCCAACCGCTCGGGATTCCTGTGCACCTAAATATAAGTACACGAGTCTCCAACACCTCACATCCATCGATATGTGGCCACTTGAGCCAGGATTCGATCCCGCGACCATCAACTCGGCAGTCGAGCACCGCAGCCACCAGATCAGTATTGCCCATATGAGTTGCTCAGTCCATTTCAATTTGACTGTATACATTAACAAGGATGAAATGATTCTTTTTTTTTTTTTTCAAACGGGCACCATGTCTTAATTACATTACACAGAAAAATGTTCATTACTGTGAGAACTTACCCATCAGCCAACTCCCAAGGCTCCGACGGTTTCCGGTAGTTCCAGTCTGTCGGCAGCCCCGCCCTTGGAGCGAGACTTTCACAAGAATAAGCCTGAATAAAAAGGGAGGGAAAGAGGCCACATGTAACTGTTTCAGCTAAGTGTCTCAACTACAAATTGTGAGCTGCTACTCTACACTACATCATTTGCAGGCCAGGCATTACAAACAATGATGTACGGAAGGTGAAGGGGTCAAAAGTTCCCAGACCATGCTGCCATAGGAATACATGGTACAGTCAAGCCAGGCATTAATTACATAGGATGATGCACAGGGAAAGTCAGAAGTTCCCAGGACACGCAGCATTAGGAATAAACACATGGGGCAGTGGCATTGGAACTTTTGACCAGCCCTGTAGATATGTTGTGGAAAAGTATATAGTGTACAGTAGACTCGTTAAACAGGAGCTGAAGGGACCAAGAAAATATGTTCCATTCAACAAGTGTTCCACTTACTCTGAGATGAACAGGGGTGCGAAATTCAAGTATGAAACCAATAATATTAGAGGCAGAATCACGTTTAAGAGATTTCAATTTGAGTCTACTGTATTGCCTACACAGCAATAGCTGGGCAGTGACGAACACAGAAGCACAACATGCTATCTGTGAGGCGGATAATAGATTGATGCTACGCAAGCTGGGCTGCATGCGTGCCGATGCTACATAGCTCAACGGAACCAAAAAGTTGTAATTTCTTATAGCAAGCAGAATCGCAAGTTGGACAAGCTAGTGGATGTTCATCGTATAATAATTGAAAGCACGATGATTCTAGATGAAATCACTCTTCTAGATGAAGAGCACAAGTATCTTCTAGACAGGACATGATTCGTGTAGTATTGCATGTGTACAAGCAACTGTGCACAGCTTGGTGACTCACTGATATACAAATGTTGTTTATTTTTCATAACTGAACTTACCTGAAAGTTCAGCGCTGTGTCCTTTTCTTCTCTTTATCTGTATCTAACCCATTGCACTGTCAATAATTCTACGATGCTTATGGCAAGTCAAACAATCTATTGTAATTTGCCTACTTACAAAATTAATAGTTCAACTACTGAAGTGTCACTACTGGAGCAAATACATCATGGAGTATATTGTAGGCCTTCCTGAGGAATTCCCAATACTGTTTTAAGTTGCCTTAAATATGCTACATAACATTTTTATCATTCTTTTTTTTTTCGAAGTTTGAAAGGATACCCATAAAACTTTGTAATAGTACTGCCCCCCACTTTTTCATACATTGGGAGGATGGGTGAGTGGAATGTGGGTTGAGCCGGGTGGGTGAATAAACAGAGGTCAGTAGAGTAAGTAAGTGAATGGAAGGTGAGATGAGTGCAGTGCGTGGCAAGTGGAGTCGGGGGTGAGTGGAGTGAGCGAGTGTGCCAGTGGAAGGGGAATGTGAGCTGGATGAGAGAGAGAGCAGAGTGCATAGGAGAGAGAAGTGAGTGATTGCGTGGGGCGAGTAAACGGGTGAGCGGAGTGGGTAGGTGTGTTTAGTGGGTGAGTCAGCGGTGTGGTGTGGGCGAGTGAGTGAATATAGTAGGTGTGTTGGGTGCATGAGTATAGTGTGTATGTTGCTGTGTGAGGGGTGCACAGTGACTGAACAAGGCACAGACCGCTCCCTTATTAAAATACTTTAAATGTCCTGTACGGCACATACCGGCTGGTTAGTGTGTAGTGCTGGATCATTGTCGTGGAGCTTCTTCATGGCCTTGATGTTGGGCGTGGCACTGCTCCCGCTGCCGGCGCCCCAACCCTGGATGTCCCTGTAGTGGAGAGTCTCCGCTGGCTGCTTGGCCACGCCAGCTAGGCCCTCTGTGATTTTGGGCTTCACCACTTCAAAGGCCTCCTGGCCTGTGGCAATAATATTAATAACTGTTTTGGTTAAGGCATAAAGCAAGACATAACATGCCGCATGAAGCATAACAACTGTTTTGGCACAAACTAGCGTAACATTCAGCGTGAAATCATCATCATCATCATCAGCCTGACTACGTCCACTGCAGGACAAAGGCCTCTCCCATGTTCCGCCACTTAACCATGTCCTGTGCTTGCTGCTGCCAATTTATACCCGCAAACTTCTTAATCTCATCTGCCCACCTAACCTTCTGTCTCCCCCTAACCCGCTTGCCTTCTCTGGGAATCCAGCGTGAAATAGGTGCCTTTAATTTCTTCCTGGCAAACAATGGTCTAACTGAAGTGCCATACAGCAATTCGATATTGGCAGCTTATCAGAAGTTGTGTGGTTTGCAGCCAAATTCAACCCAGTTCTAGGCGCACTTGCTCATCAAATGTGCCTGCCTCGAAAAGTATGCTCGTGCGCATCTGTCGTAGCAAATTGTGATGAAAGCTTCCCAGATATCTCACAGATAAAGAAAACAAAAGGCGCCTCTGCTGCAACGCAAATGTGTTATCCAGTGAAGCATGCCTAACTTAAAGACGATCGTTGTCTGGAATATGGGTCTCCCAGACAACCTGAGGCCCCCAGTTTGAAAGCCGGTCGAACGCCTTTGTAAGAGACACTGATTTAACAGACAAATGGGTATAAGAGACAACAATGAGCGTTCATTGAAACAAGGGTTCATAAGAAAATGCATACGTGGTACCTACTTATAAGAGACAAGAAATACTGCCCAGTGCATGTCTCTTACAAAGGGGTTCAACTGTGTGTGTGTGTGTGTGTGTGTGTGTGTGTGTGTGTGTGTGTATATATATATATATATACACATACATGCAAATGCATGAACAATTATGCACAAAAAATTTGCAAGAGGTATTAATTAAGTACGTACCATACGCCCTGACCACATTGGCGAGAGCGGCGGCTGCCCCTTGCCGCACTGACGGGATGCAGTCTTGGAGGTTGTTGAAGAACAATGGGTAGACGGTTTTCAAAGATGCCCTGCAGATAGTGAAGTTTGCGAACTTAACAAAACCGAGTGTTGAGGGTTTCACTTCACAAAATCACTAGAGCATGATTATGAAGGACATCATATGGTGGTTTTGGGACGTTAAATCCCACATATCAATCAATGATTATGAAGGATGCCGTAGTAGAAGCCTGCAGATATTTCTGCCACATGGGGGTTCTGCACTTAAATCTCTAGCATTTCACCTCCATGGAAACGTTGCTGGTGCTGCTGCTGCTGTTGTGATTTAAAAAGGGACACTAAAGCACGAAACGATTCTTCGCGTATCAGTAAAGTACAGTTTCACAATCCCGAAAACACCACTCTTACCACGACATGACGCTCGGTAAGTGAGAAAGGGCACGAAAATAAAATGCAGGTGGAGATGCCACCGTGACAATCCCGCACAAGACACCGTGATATACTTAATTTTAAAGACATATACTGGGTCCTGCATAGCTTCTACTCAATAAAAACGAAGCAGATACTCCTCTGTGGGCGCCATAGACCTAGAACTGGATAAAAAAGAGATATACCTACAAAAAAAAAAAATGGCAATTTGTTACTTAACGGGCATAGATTTCGACGTGAAACTACAAAAATGAGATTTCAGCCTTGATTTTTTTCGTTAACTCATGACAGTGAAACTATTGACATCATATATTTTAGAGTGCAGCTTCAACTTGCTATCTTATTTCGGCTCACACTTCCCTTGAAATGCATGCAACCTTCACGTCACCGGTCGTTTATCCAATCCAGAATCGCCAAGCACGAAAAGCTGGAGAATGGAGAAAGAGCTAGACTAACGGCATCACCTTTCGAAAATATGCAAAAGTTTGATGCGTTACACTCATAACCTTTGACCTGATCTGCATCTCAGCATAGGTAGGGGCTTTGTCTATTCAACGATTCTACATTGTTCTGCCTTGTGTAGGCAGGTCATTCCACCAGGAACGACCTGCCTACACAGGTTCATTTACAAGATGTCACACCAAAATCTGTGGATAACACAAGTTTTCTTCCCAGTGTAAAAGCTACTGTGAATCATATGTTGCAGTATTATATTTTCTACATCAATGACAAGCCCCGTTAGATTCGTTCCAGAAAATAGCTGCTTACTTTGACTCTTCAGGGTAGCACAGCATGAAGTTTCCGCAAGCAAGACAAGCGGCTGTAAACATGAGAAATGGCAGAGATGAGAATTTTTTCGCAGAGCACGACACAAGACTCATGAAAGTAGTAAAGAAACAAGCGCGTTGATTACACGTACCATCCCGAACTGCCCACGAAGGGTCTCGGAAGCAAACGAGGAGGGTTTGGAAAAGCCGAGACACGTGTGGCCTCACGACATCCTGAGCTATCTGAAAAAAAAAAAAAAAAATGCAGAAATGCGACATCACACGACTTGAACTGATGTCTCTCAGAGAGGTCGATAATAAGTGCAGTTCGCCTGCTCTGTGTCTGATGTCACATTAACATTGATTGATTTGTGGGGTTTAACGTCCCAAAACCACCATATGATTATGAGAGACGACGTAGTGGAGGGCTCCGGAAATTTCGACCACCTGGGGTTCTTTAACGTGCACCCAAATCTGAGCACACGGGCCTCGACATTTCCGCCTCCATCGGAAATGCAGCCGCCGCAGCCGGGATTTGAACCCGCGACCTGCGGGTCAGCAGCCGAGTACCTTAGCCACTAGACCACCGCGGCGGGGCTGTCACATTAACAAAAGAACGTAATAATACTGTCATGTCGCATTCGTAAACGTTTTCCTCCATGCTGGGAGGGGGTGTATTTTTCACTTCATTATCTACACCACCATCATGATCATTTTTGTTTTCTGTCTACTGCAAAACAAAGGCTCTTCCATCAATCTCGAATTACCCGTGATGCACTGGCTGGCCTCTACGTGTTTACTTACATATTTCATCCCACCTATTCTCTATCATAACCTAGGGTGCGATTTTTTTTACACCATCATCATCGGCAACTAGGTTTGTCACGGTTATACTACTAGGTCGAATTTGGTTAGATTAGAGTCTTTCATTTCGGGGTCAAGCTGTTGCTCGAATCACTTCCACTACATAGCATGTTCACTTCTGAATGGAAGCCAACCTAACCTAACAGTTTACGCTGTCAGCGAAAAATCACACTTTTGCCAATTTGTAAAGTCTATAGCTCTACACTAGTGTACACCTGCCAATATTCACTTCTCCTGCAAAAATATAAGCTAGAATACATTGGCTACTTACATTCACTTCATATTCCTGTTAGTCACACTGTATTCCACTGATTCCTATACCCTACTGCATTCCTGTCTAACCAGCACCACACCTGTCACTTTTCATTCCTTCACTAATCGTACAGTATTTGACATGCTGTTGTGTGACCATAGGCCCGTTTACATTGACCCGACGAGGGTGCGTTGAGTCGAAATAAACAGGTTTTCCGGACTCGCCCTACCCATGTATAAGCGGACGCGTCGGGGCGGAGAGTCGTCGCGGCGAGTCCCGTCGACCCGGAGACAGGGGGTAGGTTCACCGAACTCGCCACGCTCAGAAAGGGCATGTATAACCGGTCGCGCTGAGTTGACGGCTCGTGACCTCTCCCGCCCGTCGCGGTCTCCGCTTCCCCTGTCCCCATCACTCCGATGTTGCTCTTTCTCTGTCGGCCGGTACGCGCGCGCTAGGCACGATGACATCCACGCGGGATTCACGCACCATGTGGACAGATGATGAAATAACGACGTTGCTAGCTTTAGTCAACGAGAAAAAAATGAGTGATTTGCTCGATAGCAAGCATAAAAGAACGAGGACATCGTTCTGTTATGCAGTAAATGCAGATCGCTTTTACGTTTAAATCTTGCTTGGCACGTCCTACGAGAGCTTGTTGGTTATCGTTCTCACGACTGGCTATTTTGCTCTGCCCGTAGCAGGAAATCGGCTTGTGCGCCAGAAACCTCAAATACGTGCACATGAACGCTTTAATAAAGTTTCTGGTCACCTTGCCATCAGAATACATTTGCATAAATTCACAGAATTGTCTACTAATGCGCAGCATTCCAACTCCGCTTGGATTTATTTTGCGCTCTTCACAGCCAGGTTCGACTATGAAAAAGCAAATACTTTGGGGTATTTTATTCTTTGTAAGTTTTGTTTTGGTTTTTTCGCAATTGGTGTAAATTGACTTTATCACAAAAATTAAGTGCCTTTACCAATACATGTAATTTCCCCCAGAGGAAAAGCGTAGTCCAGGGTTGGTTTCGCTCTTTTTAATTCGTGTTTCATGAATCCCTGAATGGACTTAGGCATTTCGAACGTTTTTTTGGGTTTAGTGTTCGGGTTTTGAAGGAGATGAGGGTCGTTTCGCGCCAAATATCCCAGACAGTACGCTAGACCATCTACGATTACACTATAAAAAGTAATGGTTGGTCACTTTACTACACCATTAATTTTTGGAACCAATCTTCTAAAGAAAATTTCAATTTCTTAAATATGGTGGCAGTTAGGTTGCGACGAAACTTCGAAAAAGTGAAATATTATACGCAGCACGGTAAAACGATTCCAGTCGGTAGGAAAAGAACCGCATTTCCTTGTTAAAACGCATTCACCACTAGTGTATGTTAATGTGCTTTGCGGGGGAGCAATGCAGTGTTCTTGACCAAAGTCAGAAATATTTACAGCTTTCCAACTTTTCCAGAGAAGTTTAATACGAATCTTTGTTTTACGCGAGAAAATATTATTTATATTGAGCTGCCCCCAAGGCTGTCAACGGCGGACCGTAAGCGCAGTTCACTTCACTGAGGGTTCCTCGGCAGCCTCCTAAATGCACCAAAGCCGGCTTGTTGATTCGTGCTCCATTTTCCTGCGCTTACCGCCAGTAATTTTCCTGCGCTTACAGAACCACTGCTGCCATCGCGTTGTGCAGTGTTAGCCAAGACACCAACGCAACCATAAAGTACAGCTGGTGCAAACTGAGAAAAACTACCAAGACAGCCATCGCGGTGGCGGAGCGACAACTGTGTAAACAACCGCAGCTCACAGCGGCGAGAGCGCAGGCTTGGAGGAGCGGAAACCGGTACCGGAAGACGGGCTTTCGGCTCGCCTCGACGCAAGGCGTCGTTGCGATCACCGCTCACCTCAACTCGTCTGTGCGAGTTTATATAAACTCGGGCGCGTCGAGGTAAGCTGAACCCGCCACTCAACTCAGCCCGCCCCCGTCGCGTCCATGTACACGGGGCTCATGTTGTCACGTGGGCTAGAATAGAAATTGATATACCTTGGAGGCAAGTTCCGCGATGCAGGCGCAGGCTGCCTCACGTACAGCGTGATTTTCGGCAGCTGCCTGAGATATATAATAGTCCACCTGCGCAAACAATCCGCAGAAAGAAAGTGTAAGACGATATGCAGGAAACTATCTACAGTAACTATGGCTTCGCTTCAATTATGTTAAAAGTACAAAATAAAGGTGGACAGCACCTAATATAGTACTGTACACTTCCAGACCTAACTGATCATTTATTTGTCTTGAGTCGTATAATACATGAGTGATACACCATATCGAGACCCTCTGAGCAAGATTATTAAGGTGGCGGTTCTACTGTCGCCATATTGCGAGTAGTTCTGGAAAAAATACCAGACGGCGCCACCAAGTCAGGACTGGAAGGCCAACATTTCGGAGGTGAACTGCCACACGTGTGCCGGCGCGCCACACTGCATGACGAGGGGGTGAAAATCGCGCTGACACGGTTCGAAGAAATGAGGCACTGAGCAGGGGCTTTTTTTTTCTCCCCTTCAACGACACCTCCATCTCTCTCCATGCTCACTAGCCCCTGACCCCTGCGGTCGCTGCTTTTCAAGAGATCCCTCATGTAGGCTGCGTAGCCTGCTTGGCCAGCTGCTCTACGTTCCATACAGTGCCGGAATGCGAGGTTGAGTGAAAAACTCTATCGCGGAGGTCACAACAATGTATATATACAATGGAGATCAAAACTTGGACTATGAATATTCATGCGAGGTTCAACGGAACAGTTCGTTCTACAAATAATTGGGGTTGCTGGAGCATGATGCGGTTCGGTGGGACAGGAGAAGGCAAATTATATTTGACTATGTATACTTCCTTCCCAGTATGACCTAAGCTTCCAAATTAAAAAAACAAAAACAAAAACAAAAAAACGGGTAGTTAGGCAAATCGCGTGCTAAGAAGTGCGGCCGCTGTGACTCACGGTGCCCAACACGTGCCGACTGCATAATCATTAGTTTTCCCCACTATACGTAGCGTAATTTATTTCATTAGAATTGAAACTTCAGCAGGCTAGTATGAATTCATGTTTGGTTGATGCAGCGTTTATTTATCACGTTGCCGTACGCAAACCATCGGACTAGTCGACAAACTATTTTTATGACGAAAATGAAGCAATTACCTCTTGTGTGTCATATGAGCGAGACTCGCACATGCGTGGCCTGAATGGTCCAGGTGCGTTATTCCCTTGTCCAAGGAACGACTTCTCTGTTCGCGTACGCTATTTCAACATCATTTTTTTTTTTCCTGTAAAGGTCGTGGCAATAACATGAAGAGTGATCGTTTCGCCCAAATCAGTTATTGACTGCAAGCTCGTAGATTCGAGGCCGTTACCTCAAGCTCTATAAACATCTCATGATAAAAACTGGGGCGGATTCACACAAACCTCCCAGGAGTGCAACAAGGGAGGGGAAGACTTATGGTACAGTGCATCTCCCATGCATCTTTCTACGCAGCTGCTGCTTGTATTACTTCTAATTCGTACCCATTTCGAGTTCGTAAAGCGCATGCAAGGCAAAAACATGAGTACACAAATACAATAGTTGCAAAGGAGTTGAAGAAAAGGTCTTGTCGCACTGGATAAGGCTTTTGGATGCATGATTGGTCAATTCACATAACTATGTCGGCTAACATATCTTCAAGCAACGAGAGGTCAGACGCTCCCTGGATTTCGTGCCGACCGGTTGTGCGCCCGCGCGCTCCGCGCGCTCGCGACCTTCGGCGTCATCGTAGCGCTGGCCGACTGGGCTCGTCCTACGTCATCTCCTGTCGCCGACGACCTTCGACGACAGCGCAGCTCTGATTTACTGGTCCTGCTCTACGCCATCTACAGACGCCGACACCATCTCTCGCAAGTGTACCCCGTCCTCGGACTCCAGTGACCGTTCTTCCATCTTTCCTGTCTCTCCTATCCCCTCAGTTTGTTGTTGCTTCTTCTTCCTCTTTCCTATACCTTTACTTCTACCCTTTTATCCCTCCTTACCCCCATCCCTTTGTGAGCTCTGTGGCGGTGTCGCTTACTGAAGCAGACAATAACGGGGCTCACTTTTCTCTTCCTTTCTCTCAAGAACCACTTCAGCAACGAGACTTAGTGTTGTGTATATGCTATGCAATGAAGGGCTGTCATGCAGTAAGCAAGATTGAGTCAATACACGTTGTTGTGACAATTTATTTAGTACGAAACGAGCGTCGGCAGCACTTGGTTACAGCCACGAAGACACCTGAACATCACACACACAAAAAAGCCCGCAGAACTACAACGCATACATTTAGAGAAATGTGAAATCGCACAAAGCAAAAGTACATATAATCACGACTTTCGAATGCGAACTTGTGACAGCAGAGAATGAAGGTGTATGTTTTATTATTATTTTCCGTTATCCTATATCACACACGAACTTTTTACAAAAGTTCATTGGCGCTTCTGTGGTCATGTCTCTCGGTCATTGCTGCTGCAGAACGCACGTGAATGGCTGATGACACACCCGACACAAAGAAGTGAATTGCTACCTCATAGCTTGTTCGAGAAAGAGTCTTTGCTATCGTCAAATCTGAGCCTGCATCTGCCATTGGATATATACAAGGTCGTTCTCCTAATGTGCAGTTCTTTAGAGCGAAGCTCTTACGCACATACTGCTGCGTTGAGCGGCGGCGCCTGTTGGCGTCGTCGGCGTAACCAATAGAGCGAACGCGGAGTCTGCTGATGTCACTCGCCACTGGCCTCTAACCTCGCCTTCTTCCTCCGTCACGCTCGCTAGCCCCCCCCCCCCCCCCCCCTCCCCGGTAGCAGCTCGCGCGCGTGCAGGGCTGGCACGTGCACTGCGGCTGGCTTCGCTTGTCGTAACGGGGCTCTCGGCATTTCGCTTGGTTCGCGGCGCCTGCGATGCACAAAGTGGTATGCGTAACGCTCGAGCACTGGCAATTTGCGTGGAAATATGTAAATAGCTACAACTGTAGATGGCCGAAACTACAGACGCACTTGGCGTTGCCCCAACACGAAAGTGCGCTCAAAATCACCATTAGGTAGCATCGTCACAATTGGTGAATTTCTTGACAGTGCACGCGCCCAGCAGTCCTACGACTCAAGGCTGTGAAAAATGTCCGAGTCGCCACTCTGCTTTGCCTCCTTGTTCTTCATCGAAGCTCGTTTAGACTGCTGGTGCGACTCAATTGCTTTCACATTCCACTGTGGTCTGCGTATGGGCATGCTGCGCGTAGTACGGGGATCTACAATTTCAGGTAACATGCAGTCTCTGTAAAATCTGATTAGTTGTGGAAGCATTCTGAATTTCCAAAAGTCATTATCTCTTTCGATCCGCTGTACGTGGATGTCCTTCGACGTGCAGACGACGAAGTGGCAGAAACTTCTTTTAGTGATATGCAGCTGACCTTGCACTTGGTAGAAATAGTTATGAGAGCAGCTCAATTTGGGTTGTTCGTGTACATGGCTCCTTTTATTGTACTTTTTAGCTGCCTCGGATGGCTCCATGTCCTTCGCAGTGAATGGGCACTTCACCTCCACGATACCGTCGCTCGCAATTAATCCGTCTGGCGACGCCGCCAAGAATCCGTACTCTGGGTAAACAAATAATCCGCAAGGTTGCACAGCAGTTTCCATTTCTTGCTCGTATAACCGGAGTGCAATTGTCTTCCATGCTCAAGAGCGGCACTGGTGAAATTTTTCTTATAGAGCAGGGTCTTCACGAGCGTGTCACACAGTGTCCACTCCCTCCTTCGGCATACTGCATAGAAATTCGACGCCGTTAGGCGCATGTTTCTTTCAAAATGCCATGTAGGATTATCAGCCTGTCCTCGAGTAGCCTTCTCAATTTCCATCTGCTGTTTCTCATTCACCTGCAGGCTTGCTGAAACAGCCCGTTCTTTCTCGGCATATTGCTCTGGTGGCATGTCTGGCTGCTGGCAATTCGGACCATAATGAATCATTGAGTCGTTCACCGTAGACTCTGTCATAATATGTGCTGCGCGGGCGCGAAACAGAAACTAAAAAAACGACAATAGTGTGCCGTGCGGTGGCGAAGAGGATGTGATGTGTGCGTGTATGTGCCGGGCGGTGCCTACGAGGAAGACGAGAGCTCGTGAGGCGCGGCCTCGAGCGTGGGTGACCCGTGCCTTCGGCAGTGCGCGAGGCACGTCGTTCGAGGCAGGACTACCTCGTTGGGCGTCTGGCCCATAGGTACGACCCAGGCCACGTCACGACACTCGTACTAGCCGAGTGGACAGCTCAGCCTCCGCTAGACGACCGGTCTAGGAGAGCTGGCGCCTGGTTCCTGAACCTGTCCTTGTCCCGCTGGTCGTGGAGAGCTGGCGCCGGGTGCCTGAACCTGCCCTTGCGCCGCTGTTCCAGGAGGGCTGGCGTGGGTTTCCGAGGCGGACTACAGGTGCTCAAGGGCACAACTCCCTGCCGCCGGAACACGTGAGTCGTCGGCTCCAGTTCGTCGACAGTGGCGCTGAGCCACTGGAGTTCGACGCGGCGACCCTGCGTCTCCCGACTTCGTCACGGCAGGTGACGACGCCGCCCAACGTCGACTTCGCCACTGAATCCTGGCCGAAGGGCGACGCCGCCCAACGTCGACTTCGCCACTGAATGGTGCCGACGGGGCATCAACGACGGCCCAGGCTACTACCCCCACGACATGAACTGTAGGCCGAACGTTTTACTTATTCATTTAGTTTAGCCGCGTGTTTTTGTGTTCGGAACTTCGTAATGTGTGGGTTGTCCATGTGTGAAGGGTACAATAGAAGTTGGACGTGTGTTTGTGCACTGGCGTGCTGTCTGATTCTTTCTGGAGCGGTCCTGCCCCAATAACATCCCAAACTGGCGAGCCTGCCAGGATCCGCTCGTTAAACCAGGGAAAGAAGATAGTTTCGCTCGAGGCAGACACACGTTCAGACTGCACCATGGACTTGGAAAAACTCGCCGCTATAGGGCTCCAACTAGGGTTCTCGGGTGCAGAGCTAAACAAGTGGATTGAGGCCCAACAGGCTAAGCTAAGGGATGAGAGAGCTGCAGAGCGAGAGGCAGCCAAAGAAGCTGACGAGAGGCA